GTATACTTTTTTACTTTTCTACTTTTCTCCATTTTTTTTAATTAAAATTGTACGATTCTCTTAATTGTTTGTAGAACTAAAAAAACAAAAACAATTTTAATTGTCATGATAGTCAAAATTCTGTATTTTGAACACTTGGAAATTTTTAATCTTCTCGATCATCAGGGGAATCACGAAATTTATCTACAAACGAAAAGGCAAATCTGTTTTTTCTTCTCTCGATATTTTAGTCAGTGGATTTTTTTCGTTTAGTATATTTATTTTTTCAGTATTTATTTATTTTTTTAGTATTTATTTTATTTTTTAATTTATTTATTATTTGTTTAGTATATAATTATTTTTTTTGTTTTATTTATTTATTTTTTAGTATTTTTTTATTTTTTGCTTTTGTTTTTGTATTATTTATTTATTTTTTAGTATTTCTTTATTTTTTGCTTCTTCGTGGAGGAAGCTTTTTTATTATATTCATTTATTACTGAATTTAATTTATCTTTTAATAATTGACTGTAAATTTTCCATTCTGTGAAAAAATTGTACTAAAATTCTTTTGTTATTTGATTTCAGAATGAAAAACATAAGATCGGATATAGTGTTTATGTTTGAGTGCTTGCAATATTTCCTTAAACATTGCGGTGCATTAAATTTGAGGAAGACCATAAATTTAGACACATGAAATCGTTTACTTTGATGGCAATGTCTTCCAATTGCTCGTGTTTTATAAGCTGTAATTTTCATTTGTATCAACAGTCACGCTTCTTCTCTATATATGCACTTATATTGCTCGTGGTGTTAATCATAGAAGCACGACTTGATAATACCGAGAATCAAGCAATTTAATTGCTTCAATTATTACACGAACGAAACTTTATTCTATGCCACTTGCCACAGTAGACATTCTTTTTTCATTTATGTTAATTAATTCAAAAATTATTCGAAAATTGTCTCTCGAGTATATTTTTTTATTTATTTAAATTTGTAAAACTGCTTTTAAATTTTATTTATTTCTTTATCAATTAATTTATAGATATTGATTTAGATTAGGTATATTAATTTATAAATTACCTAATTATTTTATTTTTTAACGTATATTTAAAAAAAGTTAAGATTGTATTTTTTAAATCGAAAAAATTGAAAAATGTTTTTTGAAATTACAAAGAAAGGAAAGAGAATTTGAACTAAAATATCAAGGATCACAATGATTGCTATTTAAACATTTTTTTTCTATTAAAAACCAAGTTCTATAATTAAAAATAAAATTCTGTTCTCGATAAGAGTAATAATAAATATTGAATTGCATTAATGAATAGAGTCGAGTAGGCAATGAAACGTTAATGACAATAAGGAAATCCTCGTGGAGAACTATTTCTGGAATGTTAAATGATCTTAAATTCACTATTGAATAACGAAAGGCTGAAATCATCGCCAATTGAAGGATGATTATTACCAGACTTTTTATTTTTTTAATTGCTCCACGATTTATTTCAAGGAATATTTATATTTATTTATTTACGGCCGAGGACAATCAGGGTTGCCACAGGTCAGGGAAATCAGGGAAAAATCAGGGAAAGTAAAATTGGTCAGGGAAATCAGGGAAAGGTCAGGGATTTTTTATTAAAGTACTGGAAAAAATTGAATTTTGGAGAAGTTACAAATAATTGCAAAAATTCAATTATGTTCAAAAATTAAAAAAAATTCTTGTCAAAATTCAATTATCTTTAAAAAATAATAAAATTCTTCTCTAAATTTCAATTATTTTCAAAAATTTTAATAAAATTCTTTGCAAAATTTCAATTATTTTCAAAAAATTTTCCTTAATTCAATGATTTTCAATATATACTATTTTAATAACATTTTTAAAAAAAATTCAATTATTAAAAAAAAATGGTGATAAAATTCTAAGCAAACATTAAATTATTTTCATGAATAATAAAAATTACACAGGAATTCAACTATTTACAAATTTTTTATAAATTTCTTCCAAAAATAATTCAGTAATTTTCATAAGTAATAACATTTTTTACAAAAATTTAATTATTTTCATGAATAATACAACTCATCATAGAATTTCAATTATTTTTAATACAATTTTAATCAAATTCCTCTAAAAATTTAATCATTCTTGAAAATTTTATTAAAATTCCTCGAAAAAATTCAATTATGTTGATAAAATTTTTTATGATAATTCAATTTAGAGAAACATTCATTTATTCAGTAAATTATTTATTTTTGTATTTAAATAATTGAATTCTTGCGTAGAATTTCCCAATAAAAATTGATTTAAAAATGAATATTAATGAATATATTAAAAGCATTAAAGCATGAATTTTTTAAAATAATTGATAATTGAATTCTTTTGAAGAATTTTAATAAAATCTCTGAAAATAATTACATTTTTCGAAGAATTTACTTAAAATTGTATTAAAAATCATTAAAATCCTGTGAAGAATTTTATTAATTTATGAAAGTAATTGAATTCTTGACAAAAATTTAAGAAAATAATTCCATTTTTCTAGAATTTCATTTTAAATTGCATTAAAAATAATTGAAATCCTTAGAAAAATTTTATAATTTATGAAAATAATGGAAGTCTAATAACAAATTTGATCAAATTTTTTTTTAAACAATTGAATTCATGTGAAAAAATTTATTACTTGTGAAAATAATTGAATTCCTGCAAACGAATTTTATTACTTTTTATTTAAATAACTAAATTCTTTTAAGAACTTTAATTAAAATAGTAAATTTTGAAAATTTTTGAAATTCAACGAAGAATTTCATTATTTGTGAAATGTAATTTAATTCTTGCAAAAAATTTTTGAAGATAATTTCATTTTTCGTGAAATTTACATATTTAAAATTGTATTAAAAATAATTGAAACCCTGTGAAGAATTTTATTAATTTATGAAAGTAATTGAATTCTTGCAACGAATTTTATTATAATTTTTGTAAATAATTTATTTTTTTTTTAAAAACATTTTATGGAAATCGAAATTTTTATAAAACATGAAGATATGAATTACTCCAAGTCGAAGACTCGGAGTGATTTATATCTTCATGTTTTATAATAATATTCTTATAAGCTGTTGAATTTAAAAAATTTTTGAATTTAAATGTTTTGAAGAATTTTAATTCCTATGGAAAAATAATAATTAAAAATACTTATTTAAAAATGAAGTTATTGATGTTTGCAAATAATTTTACAATTAAAGAAATTCGTAAGTAAATGTAATAAAATGTTTTTTTTTTGAGTATCTAATAATTTTTAGAGTGAATCAGAATATTCTTTCGGGTCAGGGAAAAATGAAAATTTTGTCTGGAAATCAGGGAAAAACAAAATTAATTTTTTGTGGCAACCCTGACAATGAAATTGAAAATAGCCTATTTTTTTCTTCAAAAAGGAAAATATTTTTATTCGTAAATAGAATTGAAAAAAATACGAAAATATAACTCGAAGATTAATTTTCAGAAATGGTGAATTTGAAAATGATGAGAAGAATATTTTACATCCTTTGCAAAGGGCGGATAAAAATTTCTTTTACAGAATTAAATTTAAAAAACTGAAATTGAATTTAAGAAAATAAAAAAGAGAAAAATAAGAAAATATTAAGAAAGAAAAGAAGAAAATATTTGTAAAATGTAAATTTTATTTATTTTATTATTTAATGAAATATTATTTATTTAGAAATTTTTATCAAACTTTTTAGTTTTTAACAGGAAAGTTAGAAAATTTTCGAATTCTCCATTACAGAAAATTTTTTTTAAATCTATATTATTTTTTTTATTGGTATTTTTTTCTTGTTCCACAGTTGCAACATCTCAAAGTTTGTTGTCAGATTGTAATGTGTTTTGTAATCAGTGGTGTTGTCTTAATAAGAGAAGAGAGAATATTACACGCACTTATATGATTCTACACAGTACATTTTCTTAGGGTTCTCAAGTTGGGTATATAATTGAAGTAGTGAGACACTTTGTTCTTAAATGTTTCATCGACTCTTGAAGCTTTGGTTTCTAGTTAGTTGTCATGTTCATTAACATGAACACTAGACGTGCCTCTCGAAAATTTGTGCTCACATGTGTTTCTCCTCATTCTCTCTCCACTCGTGATTATTATTTTCTTGTGCTTCTTTGAATTCAAAATATTAATGCCCGCAAAATGCTCAAATTTACATCAGTTCACTGGGTTCGTATATTTCTTTTTTCGAAAATTTCCCGACTTAATAAAATTGATTTCTGAATACAGAAATTATAATTATAAATATAAATAAATTATTATAATATTAATATTAAAATTATACAGAATTTCTGTATTCTGTATAAAGTCTCTATAAATTTTAAATAACAATGATTTTCGGCTTTGAAAATTAATTCCTATTTGTCCGAAATACTCGATTTTTATTTTTTCGAATTCTATTTTCTATGTTTGATAAGAAAAATCATATCAATATTGTGTATTTTTTCGTTTTATTTTATTCAGAAAAGAAACGAATTTTCGGAATTAAAATTCGTTTTTGTAGAATATTAGAAATCGTGAATTTTTTTAAATTAATAGACACGATTTATTATTGCTTATCAATTTATTGAGGTCAGTGGTGTTTGTTAAATTAAATAAATTTAATAAAAGAAGATCTACATTTTTTTATTGTAAAGAAAAGATAGTATTTTTTTTTAATACTCAAACATTGTCTGGACTCTTATCTACTTAATATTTACAGAATATTTCATTTGAAATTTTTTCTCTACAATTAAAATGTCATTATAGTTTCGATAAGACCAGAGAACTAGTGAGAAGTATAAATATCGCAAACTAAACTATTTTCAAATTCAGTTTTTAGTTCCAAAAAAATCGTTGGTGGAGTGCATTGTAATTATTTGACAATTAGGAAACGATTATTCGATCTTTTTTTTTTATTTTTAATATAAATGGAAAAATTGAATTAAATTTTTTCCTTTTTTTGTTTTTGTCCAATTAAAAAGCTAGGTATAAAGGATTTTCTAAATTTGGAAAAAGAATGTGATGCGGAGGGCGCAACTCAAACGTGAAGCCTTCAAGTCGGATGAAAATGTTTTTCGAATCGAAATCGAGGAGGATAAGGATGACAAGGAAGAGGCGGAGGAAAAGAAAAAGGTTGGAGAAACTGAGGGAGTAGCAATTAAAAAGGATTCTTCAAAGTTCAAGGAATACGATCCAAAGGATTTTTCGAAAGAGTCAAAGGATTTAAAGGATTCAAAAGATTCAAAGGATTTAAAAGATTCAAAGGATTTAAAAGATTCAAAGGATTTAAAAGATTCAAAGGATTCAAAAGTTTCAAAGGATTTTAAGGATACGAAGGATTTGAAGGATTCAAAAGATTTAAACGATTCGAAGGACTTGAAGGATTCTTTCAAAGGTGAATTATCACTTGAATCAAAATTGAAGAACGAAATGCGAAATAGCGTACGAAGACTCACATTGCCGGTGACAAATATCGAACTCGAACAAGTTTCCCTGAAAGAGTCGTTGAAAAATTTAGCACCATCGACTTCTCCTCTGTCTTTTTCGTTTTTTAATTTCAACAAAACGGAAAATAGACGACCAAGCATCACGAATATTGCAATTGGAAAAACTATCGCTCCAAGTTTAGCCGGATTATTTCCCGATTCGCCGAATTTCCTGAATCATGATAATATTGATCTTCGACGAAGTCTCACTGATTCGAATTTATCGGATAATAATAATTCATCAACGACGAGTAATTGTCTCGGTGATGCGACATTCACGGACGGTGAGAAGAAAGCCACGAGCGGAAGAAGATGGTCGAGAATACCATTTTTACGTGGGCATGACGATTCCGATCGTCGATCGCATCATCATCTTAATATTCCCATTATCACGTTTAATGGACCCGCAACTTACTGTGGTACTGGTCGAAAATTTAATTTTGGCATTCGAAGGCACTCGCATCTGGTTAGTCGACATGAAAAGTGCTTCGATTTCGATGTTGCCAACTTATTCGTGTGAATTTAACAAGAAAGGAATTTTGAAAATGGATTTTTTTCAATTTGACTTACTAATTACAATTTCACGCTTCTGTTTTGCTTATATTCGTTTATTCGAGAAATGGGAAATTTTTATCGAACGAAGTCATTAGTTTTCTGATATTGATCTTTATAGAAAAACTAAAACAGTAGGAAAAAAAATTATAATTCGTTCGATTATTTTTTTTTTATTTGAAAAATAAACAATTTTCTCTTTGAAGTTCAAAGAGAAAATAAAGAAATTGATTGATAGACGCTTCAGTTTATTTGTTACCGAATAAAAACTGGGGAAAAATAAAAAAATATAGTAAATAAATTTTTTTGCGATTCGTTCGATTATTTTTTTTTGGAGTACAAAGAAAAAATAGGGAAATTGATATGCGCTTCAATAACAATAATGGCTGCGATTGTACAAGTTTTTAAAATTGAACTGAATCTTGCTTTTTGGAAAATAATTTCCCGAGAAATGATTTTGAAAACTGATTTTCTCTTTTTTTGCAGACTTTACACCGGACTGACTCCATGGTATCTCTTTGCTATCGGAACTTGGCCACTTGCATTACTGAAGAAAATCTCGTGGGTCTACAGAACTTCCTCGAGAACAAGAGGGTCCAAGTTGACGATCGAGACGAGGTGAATAAATTTTTAATTTCCAAACGTTCACCGAATTTTTATTATTCTTTGCGAAAGGAATTCTATCAATTCGAGCTTTCTTGCACTTTTTTTTCTTTCTGAAATTAATTCTAAACTCAAAATCAAAAAATGGAAATTAATTCTAGTAATTCAAGTTTTTTAGCGTTTTTTCTCTTTCTAAAATTAATTCTACAAATTAAAATAAAAAAAATAAATTATTCTAGCAATTCAAATTTTTAGCGTTTTTTTCTCTTTCTAAAATTAATTCTACAAATTGAAATAATAAAACAAAAATGATTCTACCAATTTATTACTTCTAGCGTTTTTCTCACTTTCTAAAAGAAATGAACGAATTAAAATAAAAGAGAAATAGGTAATATCAAAGTAAAAGAAATATAATTCTATCATTGAAAGTGCTCTGAGAAGAATGAAAAGAATTCTAAAAAAATACGTTTTTAATTTTCCAGAATGGAAGCACGGCCCTGATTTTTGCAGCCAGTAAAGGAAAGTTACACTTCGTGAGAGAACTTATTAATCATGGAGCAGATGTCAATGCCGAGGATGCGGTGAGTATGTCACGTGAATAAATTTATTTTGTGTCAATGACGCATTGTCTTTATACATTTTTTTCATCTTTTTCTTCTTCTTTTTTTTTCTATACATGTTTAGGACAATTGGACCGCGTTGTTGCTCGCAGCGAAAGAAGGATACGTGGATGTTTGCCTCGAATTACTCGACCATGGAGCCGATCTCGAGCACCGCGATATGGTACATAAAAAAATTTCCAAATTTCAATGTCAAATTTAAAGAAAAATTATAAATTTCAGTCCGTTTGTTTATATAAATTAAAAGTTTCACTAACTTGGCAAACTGATTATAAACAAGAGACTATGAATTCACGACAATGTAATTTTGAATCTAGTCCAAAAGTTTACTAATTTATTATCTTGTTTCCTTCAATTGTTGAAATTTTTATTTCTTCCTCATGTAATTAATCGAATTTTTTTGCGCTATTATTTTATTGATTTTTATAAATATAAATATAAATATAAATAAAAATATAAATCTGAATATAAATATAAAAATAAAAATAAATATAAATAAAAATATAAAAATAAATAAATTTATAAATATAAATTTGAATATAAACTTAAATATAAATATAAATACAAATATAAATATATAAATTTATACGATAGGTATAAATATTTATTTATAAAAATATTTGAAATTAACGATTTTTTATTTTACTTTAAAGGGCGGTTGGTCGGCTCTCATGTGGGCGACGTACAAGGGAAGATCGAATACTGTATCGTTGTTATTGTCGAAAGGTGCCGATGTCAACGCACATGGGAATTATCACATTTCATCGTTATTGTGGGCGTCAGGGAGAGGGTATCCGGAAATTGTCAAAGATCTCCTGGCACATGGGGCAAAGGTCAATGTCGGAGACAAGGTAATAATTTGCAAAATAGATTTTCTAATTTTTATTTCTTAATTTAAAGAAAATAAAATATCTACTATTTTGTTGAAATGTTTCCATTTAGTAAATATATTTATATTTTTTAACAATCTTTCTATCTTCTTCTATATATTAATAATCGTTGTATTCTGATAATCTGTTCACAGTTTGAAGTTAGTTGCTATTTGCTTTATTGTTTTCTAACTTTTTAAATAATTTATCTTTTTAAATGTCTTCAATTTTAAAATTAATGTAGGTACAGCAAAAATCATTGAATTCTTGCAAAGTATTTATCACAAAATTTTGAAAATAATTTAATTCATTTCAAGAATTTTAATCAACATTGTTTTCAATAATTGAATTCTTTCGAGAAAATGTAATTAAAATTGTATTGAAAATAATTTAATTCTTAACAAGATTTTTATTAAAATTCTTTAAAATAATTGAATTGTTTTGGAAAATTTATTTCAATTTTCTTGAAAATAATGAAGTTTTTTTTAATCATTTTTAGTTTTTACTGAAAATTTCGAAAGTAATTGAATTTTATGAAGATTTTCTTTTAAGTTTTTAAAATGATCGTATTTATTATTAATTGTAATTAATAATTTTCCTATTTAATTATATTAAAATTATTCATAGAAAATTAAATTCTAAAACAATTTTATAGTTTTGTAAATAATTACGTTTTTTTTAAAGAATTTAATTAAATTTCGTAAAAATAATGTAATACCTATTTTATAAATAATTTTAATTGAAAATTTTGAAAATAATAATTGAAATTCACAAAGAATTTTATTAAAAACTTTTGAGATCAATTGAATTGTTTAGAAAAATTTTATTACAATTTTTAATAATAATTGAACCTGTTAGAAAAATTTTATTAAAATTATCTTGAATATAATTGAATTTTTTCCTAGAAATTTTAGTAAAATTGTATTGAAAATAATTAAATTTCTCAGAAGAATTTTATTATTTACAAAAATAATTGAATTATCGCCAAGAATTTTTCAATTTATATAAATACTTAAATTGTTTCGAACAATTTTATCAGAATTGTTAAAAATAATTGAATTTTTATTAAAACTCTTGAAAATAATTGAATTTAAATAATATTTTTGAAAATAATTGTATTCTTTTGAGAGAATTTTTAAAATTGTATTGAAAATAATTGAATTTCTCTGAAACATTTTATTATTTATAAAAATAATTGAATTGCTTTGAAGAATTTTCTTATTTATGAAAATATTTTAAATCTTGCGAAGAATTTTCTTATTCAAGAAAATAATTTAAATCTTCAGGAGGAATTTTGTTTAAAAATTTTGAAAATAATGATTTTTTAACAAGAATTTCATCAAAATTGTCGAAAATAATTGAATTAATATTAAAATTAATGAAAATAATCGAATTTAATTAATATTTTTAAAAATAATTGTATTCTTTCGAGAAATTTTATTAAAATTGTATTGAAAATAATTGAATTCCTCCAAAACATTTTATTATTTATGAAAATAATTGAATTCTTTTGAAGAATTTTCTTATTTATGAAAATAATTGAATTTTTGTGGAGGATTTTACAAATCATAAAAAGAATTGAATTGTTTCGAATAATTTTATCTGAATTTTTGAAAATAATTGAATTTTTTGAAGGAATTTTATTAAAAATTTTGAAAATAATGATTATTTAAAAAGAATTTTATCAAAATTGGCGAAAATTCATATTAAAACTCTTGAAAAGAATCGAATTTAATTAATATATTTAAAAATAATTGTATTCTTTCGAGAAATTTCATTAAAATTGTATTGAAAATAATTTAATTTCTCTAAAAAATATTATTATTTATGAGAATAATGAAATTTTTGCGAAAAATGTTATTAAAATATTTGAATAAAAATAAATAAGAATATTTAATATTATGTACTTAATAAGTGAATTCGTTAAATTTTCAAACTGTAATCATTCAGAATTTGTTGTTTATTCTCGAAAATATAAAATTTTTTTTTATTTTTAGCGTTTGTTTTGGTTTTTTTTAATTGTTTGTATTAATTTGTTTATTATTAGTAAAATATTGTATTTATTTATTTTTTATTACAAGTAAAATATTGTATTTATTTATTTTTTATTACAAGTAAAATATTGTATTTTTCTATTTTTCTATTATTATGGCGTTGATTTCAAATAATTTTCAAAATTTATTTTCTAACTAGAATTCTATCATTTCAGTATGGAACAACAGCTCTCATTTGGGCGGCACGCAAGGGAAACTTAGAAATTGTAGACACTCTTCTCAAGCTTGGAGCAAATGTTGATACAGCGGGCATGGTAACGAAATTCGACAATTTATTATAGTATTTAATATTTAACCAATAAAATAATAATATTAATGTTTTTTATTTAATTTTTTTCGCAGTATTCGTGGACGGCTTTAATAGTAGCGACACTAAAAAATCAGATCGATGTTGTCTTGTTACTTTTGGAGCACAAAGTGAATGTCAACGCCTTCGATAAAGATGGAACATCAGCATTGATGATCGCATGTCGGGAAGGTTACCACGAGATAGTCAATGCACTTTTAAATACCGGTGCTTACATTAATGTTCAGGATAGATCTGGCGACACGATTTTAATTCACGCCATCAAAGGTGGTCATCGCGGTGTTATTGAATCGCTTTTAAAAAAATACGTCGACGTCGACATTGCTGGCAAGGTATTTTAACTTTGAAAAGAAATTCTTCACAATAAATAATAATAATTTATATAAGTAAATAAATAAAGTAATAATTAACAACTAAATAATTTTTATAGTTTTTTAATTTTTTAATTCAATTTTTAATTTAATTTTTGAGGTTTTTATTTTTCATAGATTTTAATTTTCACAATTTTTGGAATAAGTTGACGAATTTATCATATTTGTTTTTAAAGGATAGAAAAACGGCGACTTACATTGCAGTGGAGAAGGGAAACTTATCAATATTGAAATTATTATTGAGTGCAAATCCAGATTTGGAAATAGGAACAAAAGATGGCGATACACCATTATTGAGAGCAGTGAGATCGAGAAATGCTGAAATGGTTCAATTACTTCTGGATAAGAAGGCAAAAGTTTCTGCCTCAGATAAAAAAGGTGATACCGTTCTTCATATTGCAATGCGTGCTCGTTCAAAGGGAATTGTGGAAATTTTACTTAGAAATCCAAAAAATAGTCAATTGCTCTATAGACCCAATCGTCAGGGGGAAACGCCTTACAATATTGATGTCAATCATCCAAAGACAATTTTAGGACAAATTTTCGGTGCTCGTAAGTTTTTTCGTTTTATTTTTCACAAATTGCTTCAAGCAATTAATATCAATATTTTAATAAATTAAGCAGTAAATTTGAAAATATAGTGGTAAATGATTGTTTTATTTATTGTATTGTTAATTTTTATTTTAGGTCGGCTGAATACCAATGAAGATAATGAGAATATGCTTGGCTATGATCTCTACAGTAGTGCTTTAGCGGATATTCTTAGTGAACCTTCTTTATCAACGCCAATTACCGTTGGTCTTTATGCCAAATGGGGCTCGGGAAAGTCTTTCTTGTTGAATAAGTTGCGGGGTGAGTTTTTTTTAATTTTCATTTTACTTGGTTCTTTAATTGATTTATTCAGGCTTCGCACTCTTCTACTTAAATCTACTATTTACTACTTTTTTTACGTTATGCTACTATTTGGACACTATTAACTGCGAATTTAACGTAGTTAAAAATTCCACTAATTTAAATTCCCTATTACTAGAAATCAAAAAACTATTCTCAAAAATTATAATCAAATTCTTTAAAACGATTAAATTATTTTCAAAAAATGATCGAAATTCAATTATTTTCAATATCTACTATTTTCTTAAAATTTCGCAAAAGAATTCAATTATATATTTAAAAAAAAAATTGATAAAATTCATACAAGATTCAAATATTTTCATAAATATTAAAATATCTACAGGAACTCAATTAATTTAGAATAGCATTTTCAATAAAATTTCGAAAAAATTAATTATTTAACAAAATTTTTATACAATTCTTCACAATAATTCTATTACTTTTACTAATAATAATAATATTTTTCATGGAAATTAAATTTTTTAAAAAAGTTTTTGATAAATTTCTAAGCAAGAATTCAATTATTTTCATAAATAATAAAACTCATCGAAGAATTTCAATTGTATTATTTTTAATACTACTATTTTAAATTAATTAATCGAAAAAATTCAAATATATTCACAAATAGAGTTTTCCACAAGAATTCAATTAATTAAAATAAAATTTTCATAACATTTATTATATTTCAAAAAAATTAAATATTTAAAATAATGTTTATAAAATTCTTGTAAAGAATTCAATTATTTTCAAAAATAACAAAATTTTTCACAGAAATTCAATTCTTTTTAAACACTTTAATAAAATTTTTCGCAATAATTCAATTATTTTCATAAATAATAAAATTCATCGCAGAATTTCAATTATTTTCATAAATAATAAAATTCATCGCAGAATTTCAATTATTTTTAATACAAATTTACAGGAATTGCTCAAAAAATGTAATTATTCTTAAAAATTTAATTGCAATTCCTCGAAAAAGTCAATTATTTAAAAAAAAACTTTTTTTAAATTCTTTGGAAGAATTCAATTATTTACAAAAATATTAGAATTTTTCTCAGGAATTCAATTATTTTCAAATATTTTAATAAAATTGATCGAAAGAAATAAATTATTTTTAATACAATTTTAATTAAATTTTTTTTGAAATAATTCAATTATTTTTTTAGATTTTAATAAAATTCTTCCCAAGATTTCAATTATTTATATTAATAATTCTTTGAAACAATTCAATTATGTCGATAAATAACAAAATTATTCCCGAAATAATTTAATTATTTTGAGGCATTTTAATAAAATTCTTTGCAAAATTCAATTATTTTTGCGTAAATAACAATATTTATCACATGAATTCAATTATTTTTAAAAGTAATAAATTTTTTCTTGTTAATTCAATTATTATAAAAAAATTATAATAAAATCGTTCACAAGAATTCAATTATTTTCATAAATAAAAAAATGTTTTTTAGGAATTCAATTATTTTCGAAAAAATTTAATAAAATGCCACACAATCATTCAATTCTTTTCAAAAATTTAAATAGAATTCTTTGTAAAATTTAATTATTTTTAAAAACTTTTTGCAATTCAATGCTTTTCAATATCTACTATTTTCATAAAATTTCCAAACAAAATTCAATTGTTTAAAAAAATTTTTGTAAAAATCTTCGTAAGAATTCAATTTTTTTCATGAATATTAGAAATTTCTCAGAAATTCAATTACTTAAATTAGAATTTGCATAAAAATAAGTTGAAAGAAATGAATTATTTAAAAATTTTATAAAATTCTTCGCAAGAATTAAACTATTTTTATAAATATATTTAAATACTTTCATGAATAATAAAATTCGTTCCAGAAATTCAATTTATTAGTAGGATAAGAAAGAAGTAAATATTTTTTTTATGAAAATTAGGAAAAAGTCAGGAAAATAAAATATAGAATGGATTTTTTGTCAGTTTTGTGAAGTGTCTAAAAATAGTTTTTTTGGTCGTCAGGTTTAATTTTTCGATAGCTACTTAGTTTTTTTAGTTTGAAAGCTACTTTTTGCTATTTTTTAAAATTAATTATCGAGTGCGAAGTCTCTTTATTTAAATAGTAAAAAAATAAATTTCGAAAAATAAAAAACTCGTTTATTTCAGAGGAAATGAAAAATTTTGCGAGACACTGGCTTGATCCTGCATTTCAGTTCTCATCCATATTGTTTCTGGTGATTTCACACTTTGCACTTTTAATCGGAGTCGCTTTAGGTCTGGCTCTACAATCCTGGATAATTGGTTTATCCACGGGAATTATTTTAATTATTTTGGTGTACCTTTTTCTTCTCCTCATATGGTACGCTAATAAACGGTAAGTTTATCGCCAGGGAAGCAGAAAATTTCTGCTTTTTTACTCTTTTTCACATTTTTTTTTTACATTTTTTCTACATTCTCACTAAAGGACAAGAAATTAGTTTTATTTAAATTTTATTTAATTTACAGATACGATTGGTATTGGTCGTATAATTTCACTGTGACTCTCACTACGAAACTAAATTCACTGAAACTTTTGTTAAAAGTGATTTTCTGTCATCCGCCGACTGGAGAAGTTCACGGTGGAATAACGGTTCAACCAATAAAATTTTATTTCACTGATCAAACACGAGTTGGCACAACAACTGCGGGTGAAAATGCAGTTGTTCAAATGATAGGATCATTGTACGATTCTATTGAAAATGATTTTGGATCTTTATCAACTAGATTATATAGAGCTTTTAGACCGAAAACGGTGAAAACGTCTAATGCCTGGGAATGGAGAAAGATGTGTTGCTTGCCTTACATAGTTATATTCACAATCTGCTTCTACAGCTTTCTCGTTGGCGTTTCTGTCCTCGCTATTTACCTCATCGATATATCTAACGAAATGTAAGTCCATTTTTTACTAATATTCACAATCTTTCAAATTTGTTTCAATTTAATTTAGTTTACTCACGAAGTAAATAACAAATAATAGTATACATAATTAAAAAAAAAATTATAAGAGAATGGTAAAAAAATTCAAAAATTGTAAAAAAATACAAAAATAGTAAAGAAAAATAGAAAAATAGTAAAAAAATAGAAAAATAGTAAAAAATAGAAAAATAGTAAAATATTGCAATAATAATATTAAAATGTTTCAGAACAACAATTGAGACTGTTACTGCTCACATAATTATGATCACCGTTGCCCTTATGCTATCTGTGAGTATTGTAGCAAATTTGTACACATGGAGTAAAACTCTTCGCGCTTTATTTTTTTCCCAACGAAGACACCTTCAACGCAGTATATCCAAATTAGAAACATTGAAGAGCGAAGGTTTTTTACAAACTTTAAAACGTGAAGTGAACCTTATGACAGAAATGGTAATTTTATAAGTATTTTTAGTTTTCTTCAAAATTTTTATCAGTTTTTGGTATTGTTATTAAATTGAATTAAATTTTGTTTTAGGTAAAGTGTATGGACAGCTTCACGGCTCAACAAAGCAGACTTGTTGTGATAGTCGATGGCCTTGATAGTTGCGAACAAGATAAAGTCCTTCTGGTCCTTGACGCAATTCAATCGTTATTCAGCGACAATGGCTGTCCGTTTATCGTGATTTTAGCTATAGATCCACACATTATTGCCAGGGTAAATTAAATTACATTTTTTTAATTAAAGCCGAGTATTAAAATTAAAGGAAAATATTAAAATTAAAGCGGAATTTAAAATTAAAGCAAAATATTAAAATTAAAATCAAATATCTTCTATATTAATTAATAATAGTTGTATTCCGATAATTTGTTCTCAGTTTGAAGTTAATTGTTGTTAGCTTTCCTGTTTCCTAACTTTTTTTAATAATTTTTCCTTTAAAATATTTTCAATTTTAAAATTAATGTATTAAAAATCATTCACTTCTTGCAAAGAATTTTATCAAAAACTTTGAGAATAATTAAATTCCTTCGCAGAATTTTATTATTTATGTAAATAATCGAATTTTCGCGAAAAATGTTATTCAAATTTTAAAAAATCCTAAATAAATTCTTTTGAAGAATTTCTTTAAATGTTTTTAAAATAATGGAGATTCTTTAATAATATTTTAATTAAAAATTTTGAAAGAAATTGAATTTTCTGAACAATTTCTTTCAAGTTTTTAAAATAATAGTGTTTCTTAATAATTAAAATTAAACATTTAATTATTGAATTTTATTAAAGTTTTTAGAAAATAATTAAATTCTCAGAATTTAAAGGTTTTGACAATAATTGAATTCTTTCAAAAATTTCTTTAATTTATTGAATATAATCGATTATACTATTAAAATTTTATTAAAATTATTTATAGAAAATTTAACTCTTTTAAAGAATTTTATTAGAGTTTTCGTAAATAATTCAATCCTTTTGATGAATTTCTTTGTGCGTTTTTTTAAGTAATGTAATTTTTTGAATAATTTTAATTGAAAATTTTTGAAAATAATTGATTTAAACAAAGAATTAAAAAATTTTTTTTAAATAATCGTGCCTGTTAATAATTATAATTGAATTCTTGAGAAGAATTACAATTCTGTAAAGAATTCAATTATTTATGAAAAAAAATTGAATTCTTGATAAGAATTTGTTTCAAATTTTTGAAAATAATTGAAATCCTGCGAAGAATTTTATTATTAATGAAAATAATTGAAATCTTGAATTTTATTTTTTATGAAGATAATTGAATTTTCACGAAGAATTTTATTAAAATTTTTGAAAATAATTGAAATTCTCCGAAGAATTTTATTATTTATGAAAATAATTGAATTATTGCGAAAAATTTTATTGAAATGTTTCAAACGAATTGAAATCCTTTAAAAATTTTTATTATTTATGAAAATAATTGAAATCTTGCAAAGATTTTTATTAAAATTTTTGAAAAATAATATAATTGTTTCGAAGGAAATTTAAATTCTTTGGAGAAATTTAATTTAATTTGTATTGAAAATAATTGAATTTTTAGGAAGAATTTTATTAAAATTTTAGAAAATAATTGAATTCTTTTGGAAAATTTTATTGATAATAATTGAATATTTGCAAAGATTTTACTATTTTAAAAAATAATTGCATTGTTTCGAAGGATTTGTTAAAATTTTGTTGAAAATAATTAAAGCTTTGCAAAAAATTTTATTATTTTTAAAAATAACTGAATTCTTTCGAAGAATGTTATTATTTATGAAAATAATTGAATTCTTCCAAAGAATTATATTAAAATTTGTGAAAATATAAACAATAATAATTAATTATACACTTAATAAGTGAATTTTTAAAATTTTGTTTATGAAATTATTGAAAAATTTATATTTGAAAATAAAAAATTTTGCTAATAGTTTTTCTTTTGTTGCAGGCAGTAGAGGTGAATAGTAGAAGACTTTTTATAGATTCAAATATAGGCGGTCATGATTACTTAAGAAATATGGTACATCTACCATTTTATTTGCAAAATAGTGGTTTACGAAAAGTTAAAGTCGCACAGCAAACGGCGCAACACAGTAAAAAAATTGTTTGGAATGAGGCGGAGGAGAGTGTTAATTATGCTGCATCGAGCAGTATTCATCGATCGGTTTCAAATAGAAGATTGAGCACCGAGTCCGGTGTAATGAGCAGTAATGAGAAACTTAAACCGCCGAGTAGAAAGGGTAGTAGGAAATTACGATTAAGTGAATCGATCGCCAGTAGCATTGGCAGTAATCTCAATCGATTGGGAGGCGCTCAAGATTTAAACAAAATGCTCCTCACCGACGACTACTTTAGTGATGTCAATCCTCGAAGTATGAGGCGACTCATGAACGTCGTCTACGTTACTGGTAAAAATTTTTCTTATTAGTTGAATAATTACTAATTTAAGTTAATAAAAATTTATAAATAAATAAAAAATATATTAATAGTAATTATATTACTAATAAAAGTTAATAAAAATTACTGAATAATTTTAATAGGGAGATTACTTAAAGCATTCCAAATTGATTTCAACTGGTACCATCTCGCTAGTTGGATAAACATCACTGAACAATGGCCTTTTCGGACTTCTTGGTTGATTCTTTACTACGATAGTTGTGAGGAGAATTTAGACGACTCGATGTCACTGAAAAGTCTCTACGATAAGTAAGTTTTCTTTCACGATTAATAATTAAATTAAATTAAATTATTAAAATCAAAATTTGGAAAAAAATTCAAATTCAAATTTTGAAACAATTCAATTCAAAATTTGGAGAAAAAAGTAAATGAATGAATTAAGTAATTAAAATTGATTCTAATTGCGTTTTTCAGAGTACGACCGCAAATTCCAGTTTTTAAAGATGTGCAACCACTGCTTGAGATTGATAGAGATGAGCGAAAACTCGATGTATTTTTGACATTTCATAGATCGAGTTTATTGATTAGTGACATGAAGATTTTCCTACCGTTTACAATTAATTTGGATCCCTATATAAAGAAGAAAATAAAGGAGGAACAACAAAGTTTGGACGACGATCCGAATCATCAATTTTATAAAAGTTTACAACCATGGAATGTTACTGGTCACAATGAGCAATGGTCGAATCGCAGTGTTTTAACCAATAGATTAACAACTAGGAATAATAAATTGAAAACACCTCAAGTACCGCAAATTGCTCCATTAGCACCAAATTGGCCTGTTCAACCTTCATTCAATTGGCAATTTCAGCATTGGCATCCACCTGGTCTACCACCACCGCCAATGGAACCATTATCGAAACCCATTTCTGCAACTACATCTCTACCTGTAAAATTTCTCTTATTTTATTATTCTTTTCTATTTCTTTTATTCTTATAATCTTATATTCTTTTATATTTCTTTATTTAGTCAATATTCTATTTTTTTATTTCACCTTCATCTAAATCTTATTTAATGAATCAATAAAATTGATTTTATCTTATTGCAGCCGGAAATCTTGGAGATAAGACTTTCGTCATTATCAGTGAATGGTTTGTGTGACTTGCTCGATAAAATTGAAGATCTTAATTTAAATCAAGTTCAGTGTTACAAGGAAATTATTAAACAAAATAACATAACTGGTAGAGTGTTGCTTCACTGCGATTTACAGGAGCTCAAGAAGGTATTTTTATTCTATCATTCCTTTATTTATTATTATTTATTATATAAACTAGCAAATGATACGCGCGGAACGCGGTATTTAATTCAGTATTATTTTGTAAATTAAAAAACTTTACGTTTTTACGAATTTACGAATTACGAATCGCAAGAATTTCATTATTCTCATATAAATAATAATATTGTTTAGAGCAATTCAATTATTTTCACAAATATTAATTAAATTCGATTACTTTCAACAATTTTAATATAAATTCAATTATTTTCGACAATTTTGATGAAATTCTTTTAAAAAAATGCAATTACATATTTTCAAAATTTCTAATAAATTCCTTAAAAAAATTCAATTATTTTCAAAAATTTAGATAAAATTATTCGAAACAATTCAATTATTTTTATGAATTGTAAAATCCTCCAAAAGAATTCAATTATTTTCATAAATAATAAAATGTTTCAAAGGAATTCAATTATTTTCAATACAATTTTAATAAAATTTAAAATTTCTGGAAAGAATACAATTGTTTTTAAAAATATTAATTAAATTTGATTATTTTCAACAATTTAATAAATTTAATAAACAATTTAATAAAAGTTCAATTATTTTTGCGACAATTTTGATAATATTCTTTTAAAAAAATTCAATTATTTTCAAAATTTTTAATAAAATTCCTTAAAAAAATGTAATTATTTTCAAAAATTTAGATAAAATTATTTATAATAATTTAATTATTTTCAATACAATAAAATTTAATAAAATTTCTCGAAAAAATACAATTATTTTTAAAAATTCAGTTAAAATTATTCGAAACAATTAAATTATTTTCGAAAATAAAAAAATTCTCCGCAAGAATTAAAAAAAATATTTTCATAAATAATAAAATTCTTCAAAGGAATTCAATTATTTTCAAAAATTTGGAACAATTATTTATAATAATTCAATTATTTTCAATACAATTGAGGCCTTGGATCCAATAACTCGCCCGACGCTCGAAGGCACGCGCTAATAGCAGTCGGGTAGCAGTGAGTGGCCCAGAGGCGCTCACTGCTCACTGACTGGAAGTTGCGCGTTCCTCCGTGCGTCGGGCGAGTTATTGGATCCAAGGCCTCAATTTTAATAAAATTTCTCTAATAGGTTCGATTATTTTTAAAAATTGTAATAAAATTTTTCTAAACAATATAATTGTTTTAAAAAACTCGAATAAAATTGTTTAAAAGAATTTTTTTTCTATGAATAATTTTAATATAATTTAATAGGAAAATTATTAATTACAATTAATAATAAACACGATTATTTTAAGAAGTTAAAAGAAAATCTTCATAAAATTCAATTACTTTCAAAATTTTCAGTAAACATTATTTTTAAAAAACTCTATTATTTTGAAGAATTAATTGGAATAAATTCTTCAAAACAATTCAATTATTTTAAAGAATTTTAATAAAAATTTTGCCAAGAATTAAATTATTTTCAATACAATTGTTGATAAAATTCTTTAAATGAATTCAATATTTTCAAATTTTTTGATAAATACTTTGCAACAATTTAACGATTTTCAGTACATTAATATATTAAAATTGAAAACATTTAAGAAGGAGAATTATTTAAAAAGTTAGGAAACAAAAAATCAAACAGCAACTAAGTTTAAACTGCGAACAGATTACCGGAATGCAACGATTATTAATATAGAAGATTTGTACCTACTTATGATTTTTGTTTTAAGTGTTTAATTTCAAATAATTGAAATAGGTTTGAAATAGAAATATATATATATTGAAATGTGAAAAATTTTCAGGTACTTGAAATGTCATTTGGCGATTGGGAATTATTTCGAATGGTGGTGATTTCATTGCGAGAACAAGAACTTTCTTCGTTTTTAATTCAGGATGAAGGGCCGCGAAGTGTACGATTTACAGTTGGAAGTGAACAAATAGTTAGAAAAGGTGATTTTTATTTCAAAATACGTAGTAAAAAGTTTAAAAGAAGAAAATAGTTAAAAATTTAAAAAAGAAAATAGCAAAAAATTTAAAAAAGAAAATAGTAAAAAATTTAAAAAGGAAAATAGTAAAAAATTTAAAAAGAAAAATAGTCAAAAATTTAAAGAAGAAAATAGTATAAAAATTTGAATCCAAATGAAAAAATAATAAAAACTGTTTATTTTAATGTTTAATTTAATTCAATTTAATTTTTAAAGAACACACTGGAACCAGTCTACCGAGAGTGACTCCTCACATTGAAAAGGAAAAATCGAGAACCGATGGTCCGCCCAGAAGAGATTCTATGAAACAATCAATTATGGAAAAACAAGTAGGTTACAAAATTTATTTATTTGCTTTTAAAATTTTTAATTAAGCACATCGGCAAAATTTTCAACATTTAGAATTAGATTTCTATTAAATGACACGATTACACTTTTTTCACTTGCGCTACATTTGCACTTGGAAATACTAGTTGCAGGTAAGAAACTTATCGTCAATTAATGAATATTAATATTTAAATTTAAAAAACGAATTTTTGAATTTTTAACTCCACAAATTTGTTATATCGACAAAATTAATATATGTATATAGAAATATTTATTAAAGGAACAAAATTTGTATAACTCAAGTTTTTCCAATTCAATAGGAAAAAATTAAAATTTTGCATTAAAATAATTTATTTTAATAATTTTAATTTAATTTTTCATCTTTAATTATTAGAAATTAGTGGAAAAAATGCATAATTATTATTTATTTAGAGTAATTACAGTAGAGGAAATTTTAGTTTTTTAAGAGTTTTAATTTAGAATTTTTTTTTTAAATATTGAAATAAGTATTGAAATAAATATTGAGAAAAAATAATGATTTTGAAATGAATTCTCCAGGTAACGTTAGAAGAACAAATGATTTGTGGCGCTCTACAAACATTAAATGAAGAGGCTTGCGAGGATGTTTTCGACGTTCCATCGCCGGCTGCAGCGCCATTGGACTCACTTCCAGGTGAGCCTACTACTTCTGTTCCACTTACACTGCCTGTGGTAATTGTTCAAGAACCACCGAAGTCGGACCAAAGCCCTGACTCCGTCATCGAATAAGGCATAAATCAAAAAAATGAAAACGTAAAACGCTGAGGCTGAATGCTAATTAAAAAAAAATTCGAATGTTTCTACAGGACATTCCACCAAAAGAAAAAAGAAATCCCCATTCGTTTTCTCTCTTAAAATCATAAAATACAACCTCGACAATCTAAAGGTTGTAACAATATTTACTAACCACCAATCTACTTAAACCAAAGAGAAAATGCCATAATTAATCAAAAAAAAAAAAAATGTTTGAAATTAATCTGATCCATATCAAGACAAGGGAAAATATTTCTTTTATTCTTTTACTTACACTCTGTAAGTATTATTGTTTTAAAAAAAGTAATTTTTGTACAAAAAAAAGTTTTTTTATATCGAAAAATTCAAAATGAAAGGCTTGACTAAAATTAATAATACAGACGATTATTATTAATTTTTCCAAATGAATAAAAATGATTTAATTTGGGCAATAAATGTTTTAAATTGTCTTTCTATGGATTTTGTTAATTTAAAGAAAAACTTGACAACCAATCAAAAGAGAGTATAAAATACTTCCTCTATGAGGAAGCAAAAAGTCTTTGTACTTGTGCCTCAATTGTTGAAAATCAAAGTAGATGTTTTTAAAAAATTAGATATTAAAAACACCAGCTATTTTTACTAATTTTCTCTGACAATCAAAATCGACTTTTTTTTCACTGACTAATCCATTCTAATTTCTAACTAATTACTAATTACTAATTACTAATTGTTAAATTCAATTAAAAATGAGCTTTTTGTACATTTTTTATTTAATTCGATAACATTTCTATATAAAGAATTATTTACACAAAAATTCTTTTCTTTCACGAGGAAAAAATTTCTCTGAAAAAATAGAAATTTCTTTCTACTCGAAAGAAACAACTTTCGCTACTAATTTAATTGGGCTTTTCACTTGGACTTAGTTTTACACGTTTTACAAATTACAATTTATACAAATTTTTATAATTTCCATAAATAATCTCCGCATGGCTTCATAAAAAAAATTACGTTAGTACAAAACAAAGTGTATATCAGTGTTAAATGATTAATTATTTTTAATCTGTACATAAATTGTCAATATCAAAGCTTATCAAGATAATTTATCTATAGAGATAAATTTAGAATCTATGCAAATCAAAACAAAATTGCATTAAAAATAAAAAAATGCAGTTTTTCTTTCTTGAATAATTTAAAAAAAAAAAATAATAAAGGAAAATTATAGAGAGCAGTTAAAGAGATCATTATCAGTAATCTGATAATCGTTTGAATATTAAGTCGCGTGAATTTATTGTAATGTGACGTGTTTTTTATTAAGCTGTGATATAATGATAATCTTGAAATATGCAACCAAAATGCCGACAGATGCTATTTAGCTAATTTATCAATTAATTTAATAGACATACAAATTTTTATTATTTCTTTTTTTAATCAGTATTGTTACTTACCAGAAAATGATGTATATTTTTTTAACGAAAAGAAAAAAATATAGGGAGTCAATAAAAATTTTAATTGATAATTTATTTCACTCAGTGAAATAAAATTAGTAATTAAATTAATAAATTTATCTTTTCTATCGTAAACTGAATTTTGTTGAATGAAATCGGAGTTGTAAATATTATGACGGTAGTTTTATTCGATCATTGTGCTATGAAATTTGGAAAATTCGATTTTACTTATTTATATGCAATAAACAATTTTTCTTCTCCGATGTAGCTACTTTTTGTGTACATTATATTGTAAAAAATTCTCTGCGTTTACAAGAGAAATTATCGTTATATTGAGAAAGAAGGAAGAAATGATAATAAAATGTTTCATAGAAAATCGATGCATTTATTAAATTTTTGTTTTCTTTTTCAAAAAAATAAAAAATAAAAAAATAAAAGGAGACGGATGTCAGGGCAGGTCTATTTTTGCAAAACTTTTCTTAATTCTATTAATTTTCTTTTTTCCTGCAAACTGAAAAATCTTCTTTTCTATTTTCTTGTATTTATTAACTGTGTACTAAACAGCATGTACTTTTCTATTTTTAAATTGATTGAAAGGAACAAATTCTATTAGACAAACTATTTTATTCTTTTTAATTAAAAATAAGAGAAGGGATTTTTTTCGTCAACGATAATTTTCATTACTCACAGGCCTCGGATCGACTTTAAGGAGTAAAAAAAATCGCTTTAGTCTATTAAACATACAAAAAAAATCGAAATAGTCATTTATTTAATTCTTATGCAATAATGTTACAAGAATTTTATTTTTTTTCCTGATTTTCTCCTTTCAAGATTTATGAATTTTATTATTCAAAACTTGAATAATTTTGTTAAATAAATATTTAAATAATTTTTTTTCCATGATCATCATGATCATCATTTTTTTTTTTAATTAGAAAAATTTCAAATTAAAATCTTCTGAAATTTAATAATTTCTTAAAATTTTCTTACAATTATATCCATTCCAAAATTAAATTATTTTCTACAATTTTTAACTAAACTTCATTTTCAAATCAATTATTTTTAATTTTTCTTTTAATTATTTAAATACAAATATTCAATTTTTCATAATACACTGTTTATGGTTTATGGTTCTTTTTTATAAAAGTTATTAAGATGAATTACTGAAAATATTTAATCAAACATGTTGAAAGTAACGGATTTTTAAAAAATTATAATAAAGGAATTTTTAAAATTAATTTTTTAAATAATTTTTGAAAATTAATAGGTCTTTAATTTATACAATTGAAAAATTTCCAAATAATTGAAATTTGGTAAAATCTTTTAATAATAATTGAATTTTTGAAAGATCTAAAAAGAATAGGGTTTCTACAAATTTCTCCTTATAAAATTCAATGATTTTTCCATGATTTCCAGATGATAAATGATAAAATTTCCATGACACATTAAAACAAAATTTTTGTCATTCAAGTCAGGTAAATGTCATGAAAAAAATTTTTTGTCAGGGAAATTAAGAAAATTGAGTCAAAAATTGCAACTTTTTTTGACTTTTCTTTCAAACATTGTAACAAAATACCACAATTTTTAGTAAAAAAGTGCAACTTATTTTGATTTTTATAATGCAAAAAATAACTATAAACAAATCTTTCAAAACTTGTTTTTGAATAGTTAAAATTTTGTAAAATTGAAATGAAAATAATTTATTTATTTCAAGTATTTTGTTACAATTTTTGAAAATCAAATTTTGAAGAATTTTAATTGCAAATTTTGAAAATAGTAGAATTATCAGAAATTTTAATGAAAAATCTTTAAAGGTAATTTTAAAAATGAAAATTAGCTCTTCTAATTTTTAAAAATTCAATATTCTTAATATTTTCAATTAATATTTCCAAAAATAATAACATTTTAGAATTATTTTTATTTATTTAACATTTTGTTTTGTAATAATTTCAAAGATTTGTCTATTAATACTTTTTACACTATAAAAATCTAAATAAATTGCATTTTATACAAAAAATGTGGTTTTTGTGGCGAAACTTGGAAGAAAAGTCAACAAAGTCGCAATTTTTGAAAATAAGTCGAAAAAAAGTCGCATTTTTTGAAAATGATCGAAAAAAAAATCGAAAAAGTCATAATACCCGAGGCCTGTTACTCATGAATTTTGATTAAAAAACTCTAAATGAAAAGGAGGAATAAAATTTTATTTTAGGTGATCGTTCAAGATCGAGAACATCGAGTATCACAGCGCCAGACACTGAATACGTGATTCTTCAATCAAATCCATTGTTACATTGGGTACCAGTTCAAGATGATGTCGAGAGTCATGATGACAGTTCACAGGATTCAAATATAAGCCAAATGCGTCGCAGTGATTCGCAACGAAGTATAATTTCACAAATAAGCATTAAATCGAATTCATCGTACGGTCGTCATCAGCAAAAGAGTTCAAAAAATATTAATATCATTTGTAGTCGACCATCGTCATTATTAATATCACCACCAGCATCACCACGTCCTGCTTTTCGTTCAAAATCAAATGACGACAATTATTTTAATATTGGTCATAATTCATCGCAAAATTATCAAAAAATTAATTCCACACCAAATATCGATCAGGAATCACCGAAAACAATTTTTGTTCCCGTTCCCGATCATCATTCAATAACATCATCATCATTGGGTAAATTTAATAAAATTAAAGATTGTTTTATAGGATCACCAAATTCAAATACCATACAAACTGGCGAGGAAAGTGATGATGAATCGACACCATTGGTTTCGGAATTATCATCACCATCGCATTCGAATTCCGATAATGTTTTTCGCATTGACGTTAGTCCCTGTGATAGTAATGATTTTTCACAATCAAGTTTAACGAAAAGTGGTGGTGGCGGTGGCGGTGGAAATGGAGGACAATCGTGTGATATTGAGGATATTGAATCGATGAGTCTTATTGTTCGTGATAATTCCAGAACAAAATTACTCTCAAGACAGAAAGCCGAAAACTGGGAGAATCCAGAGACACCAGTTTGATATTTCATTTATTTAGGAATTATAATTTTCAAAGTATAACTTTTTTTATACAATTCTTTTTTTTTCCCAAAAATTTAATTTTTATATTTCTTTTTATTGCGAATTGCTTTTTTTTTTAATTCTCATGACAATAGTTACTTAAAAAGAATGTTTATAAAATGTGATTTTTATTCATTAATTTAGTTTCTAATTTAAATTTGCCAATGAACAATTTTTTTGATTATTTCAATTTTATTTCTCGAAGAAAAATTCTATTCTCTGAAATATTTTTTTTTCAATTTTCTCAATTCTTGTAATTATTTTTAATAATTTTTTAATGAAAAACTATTTAATAAAAACAATTCTAGTTAAGAAAAACAATTTAATTGTAAATGTAAAAAATATTTTTGAAATGTAATATCGAAAGCCCGGTAAATAACCAGTGTAGATTATAATTTTTGAATCTCAAACTTTCTTTGGCCTTGATAGGAAAAAGAAGTGTTAAATTTATTTTTCAGAAAAAAGGTTTTAGTCCCAAATCCAAAATTGGATTTAAAAAAATTTTTTTATACGAAATGCTAAGGATATGTCAGTATTATATTGTGTTATAGAATAATTTTATATAAAAAAGGTAAATTAGTATACGTATATTTTTTAAAGTAAGTGCCTTAAATAAATTGCAAATTGTTACTTTAAATCAGCGAGATATTCAAGTATTTACTGTTAGGTGTATGCGAATAGACAGATTCGAACAATAATTATAATATTCAATCTGTACAGGATAATTAAATGAGAAATTTATTTTTATACACCTGACAGTGATAATTAAAAATAATTGTTATAAATGCAAAAGGAATTTTCTGCTTTGTATTGTATAAAAAGTTTGCCTAAAATAAATTTTTTCAGCTACTAATTATGTAAAATTATTTCCCTTTCAAGGTTGCCACGCTTTTGCTCATTTCAAATTTCCTGACTTTTCCAGGTTTTCCAGGTTAAAATAAAAACTTGAAATAATTTCAAAAAAAATTCCATTAAACTTTTTCAAAAAAATTAAATCTGCACAATTTTTAATTAAAAGTATGAAAAATTTAAATAACTTTCAAAGATTATAATTTAAAACCTTTTCAAAATTTAATTATTTCTTTATATATCTAAAAATTCACGCTATACTGCATTATATTTAATTATTATCAAAAATTTTAACTCTAAAAATCTAAAATTTAAATAAAATATTATTCATTTTTAAATCAATTTTTATTAGAAAATTCTACGAGAATTCAATTATTTAAATACAAAAATAAATAATTTATTGAATCATGAACTGTTTCTCAGAATTGAATTCTCATAAAGAATTTTATCAACAAATTTTTAAATATCTATATATAATTAAAATCCTTTTAAAGAGTTTTAATAAAATTTTCAAGAATAATTTCATTTTTCGAGAAATTTGATTAAAATTGTATTAAAAATAATTGAAATTCTTTTCGATAAGTTTTATTATTTATAAAAATAATATAATTGAATTCCTAAAAAGAATTTTATTATTTATGAAAATAATTGAATCCCTGCAAAAAATTTAATAATTTATGAAAATAATTTAATTATTGGGAAGAAATTTATAAAAAATTTGTAAATAATTGAATTCCTGTGAAATTTTTATTGTTTATAAAAATATTAAATGTTTGCGTAGAATTTTATTAAAATAATTGAATTCTTTACTTTTGGAAAATTTTGATTAAAATATTGAAAATGATTCAATTGAGGAAATTTTTTTTAAAATAATTGTAATTTTCCCAAGAATTGGAATTAATATTTTTGAAAATAATTTAATTCTGGAGAAGAATTTTATTATTTATAACGATAATTGGAATTTTGACGAGAATTATTTTTCAATTTTTGACCATAATTGAATTTCTGCGGAAGAATTTTATTACTTTTACAATTTTTAAATTCTTGAGACGAATTTTATTCATATTTCTTTTAAAATAATTGAATTTTGACAAATTATTGAAATTAATTAATTTTCTACAAAGAATTATTTTTATTAAAAATTTTTAGAATTAATTGAATTGTATTAAAATCTTTATAAATAATTATATTCTTTCAAGAATTTTAATTAAAAATGTATTGAAAATAATTATTTAAATTTAAATAAACAAATTACATCAAAAATTTTTAAAATGATTGAATTATTTCGAAGAATTTTAACAAAATATTCAAGAATAATTGCATTTTCCGAAGAATTCATTTAAAATTGTATTGAAAAAAATTGAAATCCTGCGATGAGCTTTATTAGTTATGAAAATAATTGAATTTTTGCAACGAAATTTTTATTATTTATGATAATATTAAATGTTTGCATAGAATTTGATTAAACATTTGTTTAAATAATTGAATTCTTTACTTTTAGAAAATTTGATTAAAATACATTAAATATTGAAAATCATTGAATTGAGGAAAATTTTTGAAAATAATTGAAATTTTGCCAAGAATTTTATTAAAATTTCTGCAATCATTTGTAACTGCTCCAAAATCCATTTTACAAAATTTCAAATTAAAACCATTTGAAGTTCATTTATTTATAAAAATTGTAAACAAAACTTTTTTAAAATTGAATTAATTATGAATTTAAGTAAAATTAGATTTCAAGAATAAGCACAATAATTTTCCAGGATTACGATCAATATTCCCTGACTTTTTCAGGTTTTTCCAAGGTTTATAAAATTCCCTGACATTTCCAGGTTTTTCAGGTTTCCAGGTTGCATAGCATCCCTGCCTTCTTTCAATTTTAATTTTTTTCTTTGATTACTTTATAGGTATATTTATTATTTATTAAAAAATGCAGATTTTTTTTTGTATTATTTAATATATTTCTGAAAAATTGCTTATATACCGAAGACTTGTATTTTTTTACATAGGCATGAGTGATCATTCTATAGCGAATAGAAATTCCCAAACGCTAATAGTGGACATATATTTTCTTTTTTTTTCCTTTAAACTGTAATAAACCATTCATACGAATTTACGAGTCAGTCATAGAAAGTTAACGTCGTAAATGAAAACTATTTGAGGATTTTTTCAAAACGTTTCCTCAATTAGAAAGAAAAAAGAAAAATTTCTCTGTAAAACTATTTCAAAAAAGAATATTATTAAAAAAACAACTGAAAACCGAACATTTTTAATCAGTTTTCAGTCTCTTAAAAATCAGGATTCTTTCGTGATCAATAAACAATCCAAGGGAATCCCGACAATCCTCCCAATCACATATTTCCAATTTTCCGAGAAAATTACTTTCCTCTATCAAAATTTTTAAACTACAGAGAAATTTTGTCATAATAGAAAAATAAATTTTTTTTCCGTGAAAAAATGAAGAAAAAAACATTTCACGGTAACAAGCAACTTTATCAAATGTATTCTTTCTTTATATAAAAAAAAAATTGAAAGTTTACGTAAAACAGTCTACACCTTTGGATCGTGATGATTTTCACGCTCGGAGTAATCAGTCGAGATATATACGTGTATTATAGTTTCTTGCGATAATAAAAAGAAGACAAAAAAAAAATCAAAAAAAAAAAAAAATCGATGCGGCTGATATTCGAGCGTGAATTCTCGTGGATTATCGATACACGCATGAGTAAAAAAGATTCATTCGAATGACAATCCATTCAATCAAATGAATTTTTAAAGGCTCAAAGTTTTACAATGTTAGCTTGCAAAATATTGTCTTTGTAAAAAAAAAGTAGAGTCGAGCGCATTATAATATGAAGTAGAAAAGAAAATAACTCCTTTTTTTCTTAAAGACAATTTTTATATAAGTAAAAAATCAACAAAGTTTTTTGCGCGAACGAAAGGTGTTTCACAGTCCCTTTTTTTTCTTTCTTTGCTTGCACTTGGTTTCTGTGAATGAATTAACAATCCAGTCGATTTTTTTTAAAGCTGTCTTGTACGCTCATCTTGAACACAGGTTTTTTTTTGTTTTTTTTTTATCATATTTGAATTACATAAATATAATTTAGCCGCTTTTATGTTAGTGTCTTCGCGTTTACAATAATAATACATTTAGCTTAGTGGGTATTTAAAAGATCAAAATAAAAAAAAATTTATCTGACACAGATTGTTTATGCAAGTTTAAAAGACAGTTCTTTTTCCCCATTTTTTTTATCTCTTATTGATTTTACAAGCAATGTGTTTGATTAAAAAAAGCGAGAATTCACTAGAATTCGTCCCTTTTTCCTTCCCCCTACGCCTCTCGCCCATATTTTCATATTTTTTTTTTTTTTTTGTAAAAAATCAAAAGCAACTACTTCAGCTTTTTTAAAAAAATTAAGGCGCAATAGCGAATAAGTATTTTAAAGTTATAGGCGATAAAAAAAAAGGTTTTATCGCGAAAATATTGAAGGATTTGAAATCACTTGAAACTCCTGTTGTTCATGTTTTTTTAAAAAATAGGATTAAGTGACAAATATATTACATACGTCGTGTTGTGGTATTTTTTATGCGCATTTCTTCATCAAATTGCTGCTTCGGCTGTTGCTTTTCTTTTTTTTTCCTTTGCATTATGTAAAATAATTAAAGATAAGATATTATTATGTAATAGCTGATGCTGGGGCCTCCGGCATTACGACTAGCTTCGATGCCAGCTAGTTTTACAATTCCTTATTTTTTTTTACCCGCTTTGCTTCGGGCCCATTTTGCATTACACCTTAAAGCAGCCTACACTTTCCCTTCTTCTTCTTCTTTACCTGAAAGAGACAGAGGGGAAAAATTTAATTTTTTGCTTTAACCTGACTTTTCCCTGATTTCCAGACAAAATTTTGACTTTTTCCCTGACTCTAAAAAAAATTCTGACTCATTCTAAAAATTATTAGATACTCAAAAAAATATTGTAATTTTACTTATATTTGCAAATTTCTCTAAAAGTAAAATTATTCGAAAACATGAATAAATTCTTAAATATTTAATCATTATTATTTTCAAAGATTTCAAAGATTTTAATTTGAATCCTTTTCAAAATTCAATTATTTCTAAAAAATTTCGCAATAATGCTTTTAATATTCAATTATAATTTAAAATTTTAAGGGAAATTCATTTTTTTTTTTATCAATTTTTATTAGAAAATTTTTCGAGAATTCAATTATTTAAATACAAAAATAAATAATTTCTTAAATAATTGAAAATTTCTTAAAATTGAATTTTTATGAAAAATTTTATTAAAATTTTTAAAAATAATTGAATTTATTTATTTATTTAAGTCTAAGCCCTCAATTCTTTCGGTGAATTTAAAAAAAAATTTTGAGTATAAATGCAATTTTCTATCATTTTATTTAAAATTGTATAAAAAATAATTGAAATTCTGCGATAAGTTTTGTTATTTATGAAAATAATTCCAATCTTGCAACGAATTTTATTAAAATTTTATAAATAATTGAATTCCGGAGAAAAGTATTATTATTTATGAAAATAGATAATTAATTTCTTGTGAAGAATTTTATTCAAATTTTTAAAAATTTGTTGAAAAGAATTAAATTCCATCGAGTAATTTCATTAAAAAATCGAAAATAATTGAAATCTGAAGAAGAATTTTATTAAATAATTGAATTCTTGTGAAAAATTTTATTTTTAAAAAGAATTGGATTCTTGGGAAGAATTTTATTAAAATTTCTTAAATAATTGAATTACTTCGAAGAATTTTATTTTTTTCGAAAATAATGGAATTGTTTCGAAGATTTTTATAAACATGAAAATAATTAATTAATAATTGAATTTCTCCGAATTTTTTAGAGCTTTTTGAAAAAAATTAAATTTCACCGAGAAATTTCATTAAAAAATTGAAAATAATTGAAATCTGAAGAAGAATTTTATTAATTTTTTTTTCAATAATTGAATTCCTGTGAAAAATTTTATTTTTGAAAATAATTGAATTCTTGGGAAGAATTTTATTAAAATTTCTTAAATAATTGAATTGCTTTGAAGAAAATTTTTATAAACAGGAAAAGAATTAATTTCTTGAGAAGAATTTTATTAAAATTATATTGAAAATAATTAAATTCCCATAAAAAAATGTATTATTTGTGAAAATACTTGAATTCTCAAGAAAAAATGTATTGAAAACAATTGAATTGTATAGGAAAATTTTATTAAAATTGCAATTTTATTAACTAAATCTTGTAAATAATTTTGTTAAAAATTTTTTAAATAACAGAATTTTTAAAAGAATTGTATTTAAATTTTTCGAAATAATTGAATTTCTCGGAACTATTTTTTTGTAATTCTTTGAATATATTTTGAATTCTTTCGAGAAACTTTATTAAAGAATTAAAAATAATTGAATTGGTGCGAAGAAATTTATAAAAAAAATTGGTAAGTAATTGAATTTTTTGGAAATTCTATTAAAATAGATATTAAAAATAATTGGAATGAGGACAATTTTTGAAAATGATTGAAATTTTCCCGAGAATTTTATTAAATTTTGGAGAAGAATTTTATTACATATTTATAAAGATAATTGAAATTTTGACGAAAATTTAAAAATATTTTAGAACATAATTGAATTTATGTAGAGAAGTTTATCATTTTTGAAAATAAATGAATTTCTGTAATCAGTTGTTCTTTAAATGTCCATTTAAATTCATTAAAAATTGATATTTTCTAAAATTTCAAATTGCAACCAATTAATTTTGAAATTTTTAAGTAAAATTATTCATTAAATAATTTAAATGTAATAATTTTATGATAGTTCTTTAAGAATTAAGTTATTTAAAAAGAAATTATTGTCAAAAATAGAAAAAATTGAAGGGTTCGTATTAGAATTCTTGGCAATTTTATAGTTTATGAGGCAAACAAAAAAAATCATTAAAATTTAGAATTTTCTTAAAAATTTAAAAAATTTAATTTTTTTGCAGTACTTTTAATAAAAATCCCTGACTTTTCCCTGATTTCCCTGAATAATTCTAATTTCCCTGACCTGTGACAATCATGTTTTAATTTTCTGTAAAAGAAATAGGGAAAATTATGAAATATTTTGGGAAAATTTACTTGTAGTGCGGCTCTGGTCGCCGTTTCGAAGACCTCCCTCACGCCTTCCTTGCTTTTAGCTGAACATTCAAGGTAAGCGAAGGCGTTAATTTTCTCGGCCATAGCGCGGCCTTCCTCTGGCTTAACTGGTTCCTGTTTCATTTTGCCAAGCTCCTTAATGGTACTTGGATCATTTCGAAGATCCTTTTTGTTTCCTACGAGAATGATGGGCACATTGGGACAGAAATGCTTCACCTCGGGTGTCCATTTCTCAGGAATGTTCTCAAGGGAGTCAGGACTGTCAATTGAGAAACACATTAAAATAACGTCCGTGTCAGGATAAGACAACGGACGTAACCTGTCATAATCTTCTTGTCCTGCCGTATCCCATAGAGCCAGTTCAACCTGGAAAACAGAAAAATTATTACCAAAAATATAATTTTTTTTTCTTTTTTTCTTAATCTCTTGTTTTCTTTTTTTTTAAATTTATTAATTAACACAAACCTGTTTTCCGTCTACTTCAATGTCGGCTACATAATTTTCGAATACAGTGGGCACATAAACCTCAGGAAATTGGTCTTTACTAAAGACTATAAGTAGGCACGTTTTACCGCACGCTCCATCGCCTACAATCACGAGTTTCTTTCTAATGGCCGCCATGTATTCTGTAAAAGAAAAATCAAATATTTACCAATATTATTCATCAAGCTCTCTCATTTTTCTCTGACTAAGAAAAAAATTCTCTTTCTTGCAAACTATTTTCCATTTAATACAATATTTTTTCCAAAAAAAGAAAATAAATCTCAAGCAATAAAATATTCCCTTTCACATTCAACAACCTGGCAATTAATAATTACAATAATTTCGATAACGATAATCACTACAATTATAAAAATATGTTTCGAAAGTTCAAACCATTTTTGCAAAATTTAGAACGAAAAGAAAATTCTTCCCTTTACAAAATTCAATAATTTCCATAAAAAATACGAAAATTATTTCCTTTCCCCAAAAAATTCTTTTTGTGAGAGAAAATTTTCCAAATTTACAAACTACTATATTATAAAAAATAATCAAAAAACTATAAATAAATTTATTTAACCAAGTTGGCAAATGGATTTATATTTAAATTTAATATTTACAAAATTTCAATTTGTCTATCATTCAATTCATCATTTTTTATCTATTTAGAAATAAATCTGAATTATTCTCTGCTTTTAAAATCCACAAATGGAAATTTTATAAATTAATAATGAAACTTGATCTATTTTTGTTAATTGAATTAAATGAATTTTTAAGACATTCTAAGCTTTTTCATGCCGTTGCAATGCTCGTGATATTTTGAAGAAAAAAAAACATATATCGGCCTTGTGAATTCATTTTTGTACGTACAATTTTTTTTTTTCTCTCAGAGACATATATTTTAATGTCTCTATAAGAAAAAAAAAGTGGAATCTTAATTGTGAATAAATATACACGAAATTTGTTAGATAACGATGATTATAAAACCATTTGCTGTGAAAACTATTAAAATACCTAAAAACCCTAAAGGATTCTGTGTAGAGGTTTTTTTTTTGTGAAATAAGTACCAAAAAGCGATTGTGATATAAATTTTCTACAATCGAAGTGAGAAAAAAGAGAGTAAGTCAAGGAATAATTATAAAAAATCGGCTAATTATCCGCAAGGATCAATGCTAGTTTACTAGCAATAAAACAAACACTAAGTCATCAAATATTCAATACCCCTAGAGTAATAAATAATAATAGAAACAAATTTTAATAAAGAAAAGAGAAAAATAAAAAAAAAATAAAATAAAAGAGTAGAAAATAAAAGAATAGAAACAAAAATTGTAGCATCAAGAAATAAATTCTATTCTATAAAAGAATAGAAAATAAAAGAAAAATAAAAAATAGAGAATAAAACATGGAAAATAAATAAAAAATACAAAAAAATATCTCTAAAGATACGAACGTTCAAATGAACGACTTTTTTTTATATTTCGTTAAAATTTAAAATTCGTTGTTAATTTAGAATTTAATTCCAGTAATTTTTGAAAATATTTTAACAGGGTTGCCACAAAAAAATAATTTTTTTCCCTGATTTCTAGACAAAATTTTGACTTTTTCCCTGACCCAAAAGAATATTCTGATTCTCAAATTTAAACCTTTTGAAATTTAATAACTTTTAAGAATATTATTATAAAATATGAAATTTCTATAAAATTTAAAAAAAAAATTTAATTATTTACAAAAATATTAATAAAATCCTTCACAAGAATTCAATTATTTAAAAAAATGTAATAAAATTCGTTGTAAGAATTCAATTATTATCATAAATAATAAAATTTTTCCTAGGAATTAAATTATTTTTAATACAATTTTAAATGAATTCCTCGAAAAATGTAATTATTTTCAAACATTTTTCGCAAGAATTCAATTAAATTTCACAAATAATGAAATTCTTCGCTGAAATTCAAATATTTCTAAAATCTACTATTTTAATAAAACTTCTCAAAAGAATTCAATTATTTTCATAAATAATAAAATTCTTCACAGGATTTCAATTATTTAAAAGAAATGTAATAAATATCGTTGCAAGAATTCAATTTTGTTAGTGTTTTTAAGTAATATTCTTCTATAAATCCATAATTTTTAATAATTAAATAATAAAATATATTATAAAATAATAATAATATATTTAAATATATAATATATAATATATAATATATAATATTTTTAATATATATTATAAAATAATAATAAAATAATAATTAAATATATTAAAAAATAAAATAAAACTAATTATGAATCCTGCAAATTAAATTTTTTCTTTTCCCTGACCTGTGGCAACCCTGTTTAATAGACAAAAAATATTCGTTCCTTTGATCGTTCAAAACTTAAGGAATAGAAAAAATAAATAAAAAAAAATTGAGTATGAAAAAACAAATTCGTATTCAACAAATAAAATAGTGTTTGAAAATGTGTATAAAAATAAAGATTTAACGAAGTTTGGAAAAAAAATTTGTTTCCTCTGTTTAAATTGGTGTGAATGTTAATAGTGCATTCATGCTTTTCAAATATGCATTTTGCTTTCAATAATTAATTTGAAAATTAGAAAAAAAAATACTCGAAACCCTAAAAAAATTGAAAAAGCAGCAATTATAAAAAAAAGCTACGAATTTTGTCAAAGATATAATTTATTTTTCGCTCTCTGCTCAAGACATTCCTTTTTTTTAACGACGCACCCTTTTTTCTTTGTATTAAACAAACATTCGAAAAAGCAATATTTTGTGTATTTTTTTTAACAAAAAAAAAATCTGCAATAATTGATAAAGCTACACTGAATTAAAGCAATTACGAACACAATATTTTGCAGGTGAAATTGTATTGTTTTTTTTAAATCGATGACATTTAACTTGCCACATCTACAGGATTATGTAATTCTCATTTTTAATTTGTTTAAAAATAAAAATGAGATTATTTTGCCTATGAGGAAGTGAAGCTTTTTAACGGATATGGACAATGGGTCGTACCTGCTCCAGGGTACCCCGTATCGTCTGAACCGAGGCATCGGCCCGTAATGCATCCCATGCTTTTTAGTCTTTCTGCTTTCTCTCTGTTTTAAGTGGACATTTTTACATGTTAGAATAATTAAGCTTTGAAAATATCAGTGCAAAAATATTCAAATTAATTTCAGCTAAATTAAAGTCCGTAAGTGCAAAATATAAAAAGAAAGAAAACACCCCCACAAACCATCAATATAAAAATAATTTCATAAAATACAGAAAAATAATTTCAACTCATGAAGAATAAATAAAACAAAAGGAATTTTTATCTAAAATTCCTCTAATTCAAGCTTTATTAAAAATTAAAACCAAAAATAAAGCTAAACATTTTTGTCAAGCCACTAAACATTGCAAAATAGAGAAAAAAATCTTGTATTCTATTTCAATGTTTTAAAAATCAAAAAATTATAAACAAAAACAAAGTCTCATCAAGCATGAAAAAAAACAATTGAGCAAACATATACCTCCAAAAATTGACTATTTTAAACGTTGAGGCAAGTGTATTAAAATATCTCGAATAATTTTTAAAAATAGTGTACAGAACACGCAAGTGTAAAAATAAGAAATTAAAAAAGAAAAAAAAATTAAAATGTAGAAATTATTTTTAATTGATTTTTGTCCAGCAATTATATTCTCTGAATTTACTATATGAATCTAATTATTGACTATTTTAAATTACTGTCATCTGTCAATATATTGTTTACAATTCTAATTTTAGACATTAAACCATCGATTGTAAAAAGTGTTTCATCCAATGCAACAACGTTATTAAAGTGTGTAGTTGATTCAATTGATTAAATTTTAAATGGAAAAATTTTAAGGAACTGACATGCGACCTTGATTCTAAAATCAAATTCACAATATAAAGTAAATATATATATTCGTAATAATTACTAATCGCAATTTTCTGATTTGAAGAAGTAAAAGGAATCAATAAAAATCGCTTATCTTATCAAAAAAAAAAAGCAAAATAAAAAGCGATTGCTCATTTTTTAATTAAAAACTAAATATCGAGAATTCTCGGATTTTATTATAGTAATTGAATTGTAGAATCGATTATAACAATTATATTCCAAAATATAATTAAATCTGATTATTAAAACAATGGGAATTTTATTCCATAGATAAACACATGAATAACTATTGTTTTTTAGTATCGAACAATTGGACAATAAACACATAAATTGACATATTGACAAACAAAATTCAATTCTTATTCTATTTTTGTATATCCATTTAATTAATTTGCACTGCACAATTCAACTAGTAGTAACAATTTATAGAAATTAAAATCGAAAATAGATAACTTTCTTGAAACACTTTAAATACACCTAATTAAAAGCGTTAATTCCAAAAATTAAACAACCTGGTAGCAAAATAAAAATTTAACTCCGAAGACTGTTGCTAGGCTGTTAAATACCCGACTGATGACACTCGGTTCGATTAAAATAATTTCTTTCCTAAAAAAAAATCACTGGATTTATTTCCAACGAATGGAGGGAAATTGTTGGGAAATACGCTAAGAGAGGTTACTATTAAAACATCTCTCGATTATCACTGATTAACAATAAGTTATCATGAAAATTCCGAGCCGGAAGTGCACAATCGCGTTGTTCGACGGGGAAGAGGGCGCTGAATTAAAGAGAGAGAGAGAGAGACAGAGACAGATAACGACGCAGAGGTTGACGTGCCTCGAAGACGATTTACTTACGAAAATATTTGAAGAATTGGGATTAAAAAATCACGGAGAGTTTTGACAAACCTTGATGAAGAGGAAGTATTTCACTGAGAGTTGTTACTAATCACTAAATTCAATAAGATGCTGTGGATATGCTACGCATGGCATTCCCTTTTTGCAGAGCTTAATCAGAACTTTTTTTTTTCTTTTTTTTCACTTTCAATGACGAGATTCCCGTTCGAGTGGATTGTTATCAACTCGCGCAACTTAAAGATCGAAATAATATGTTTTATGAAAACAACTTCAGAACTCACTTGATTTAATTAATCAACAATTTATTGCGTATTTACCTGAAATCTTTTGCGACAGAGAGTTAAGAAAATGGCTGCCCTCTGTGGCCACACCTCAATCTGTTGAGTGTGCGAAATGTGTAGGAGAAGGGGAAAACCCGGTATCAGTAACGTAACAAGTCAGGGTGCTAATTGTCTTTAAATGTACTTTAAACTGTCAAAGGTAACAATAATCTTTTCTTTCCTTTTTTTAATGTTAAGAAAAATTCACTTGTTACGTGGAATAAATTTAAACCACTTTTTGTTGAATAGAACAAGTGCGTTTTGTCATAGTGACAACATAACCTCAAAATTTTTAGAATTTGGTCAATTTAAAAAAAAACGTTTAAAAAAGGTTAAAATTTAATAAATAGTAGGTATATGAATTAAAATCATGTGTTTCTTAATTAATATTTGTGGTAAACTTGGTTTTCTTTGCAAAATAAATATTATTTAACAAATCGTCTCCTTCTTTCTATAAACAAAAAATAGGGGGAGGTATTTAAGTAACAGTTAATTTGGAGTATAAAATTTTTAATGAACCCTTGATATCTTCATTCCTGTAATTATTAGAACCGGCGATTTGTCATTAAACATTGCGCACGCATTCATTTTTTTTTCTTCAAATTAAACATAGAAGAAAAGGGTTGAAAAATTGTTTGTAACTCTGATTTGTCATTAAAAATATTCTTACAAGACCGAATATTGTAAAAGAAAATTCTCAAAATTAATAATTTTGAAAGCAAAGAAAATATTCCAAACTATGAAGTATATTTGAAGTACGTGTATTTAAAAAAACAAAATTTTAAAAATGACTTCTAAAGCAAAAAATTGTTATTTTCAATAAAATACGAGGAAAAATTCAAACAAAAAAGGGTGCGATTAGGTGTAAATTTCGCAATTTACTTTCATCTTGCAGCAAATTCCCCTCTCTATTTTCATACGATGACCGCAAACCTAAGAATGACTCACTACCTCTACTGCAATTAATGAATCAGAAACTAGTTCGAAATATTATTTGTAAATTCAATTTTTATTTTAAAAATTATAATTATTTGAATTCCATTTTTTTTTTAAATCAATGCTATGTTATTTATTTTTCAAACGAAATAAAAAACTACGTTTTATATTTGCATTTTACGAAAAAAAAAATTGTAAAAAATATATAAAACTCACAATTGAGTCATTTATTTTCAATAAACATTTAAAACACTCGGTTTTTATTTCGTTAAAATTAATAGTCACTTTCAAAAGTTTATTCTATATAAAATACATACAAATCAGACTTTAGATAAAAAAAAAAAAAAAAATGCCGAACTATCATTATATACAAAAGCAATTACTTTTCAATTTAAAAAGTTATCAATATACAATAGCGGGTTAATTTTAATAATTATATATCAAATACTAAACTATTGAAAAATGTCTATAAATTGTAATTTAAATTATTGTTAGTTTCAACCGTTAAAATTGAATAACTTTTTCTCAAAAAAACAAAAACAGGAACTTTCTAGTTTTTTTCTCTTTTTTTTTAATTATGAAAATTCATATTGGATAATTTTTGAATTTTTGTAACTTGCAAATCGTTTGAGTCGAATATTGCGACTATGTTAATTGGTATTTGGATCAGGATCATTTGAATTTCCGCCCATTTGTCGTCTTAGGGATTCTATTAAATCGGGATTTGCACTTTCCATTTGTTGAGCTAATTGCTGTCCTCTGAAAAACAATTTTCATTTCAGATTTTAATTTTCATTTCCTATTTTCATTTTTATTTCATGTTTTAATTTTGATTTCAAATTTTACTGAATATCGAAAGTAGTCTAAAGATTGAAGAGACAAAAAAATTACTTACGCCTCAATGAGAGCTTCAATGCGATCGCCTTGTGCACCACTGGCACTAATAATATTGCTCATAACGTTTTGCATATTTGGATCGGTGAGCATTTGTCTTGCCATTTGCATAAGTGCGGGATTTCGTAGAATTTGGCCAAGATCAACATTCGATAAAGAGCCACCCAAACCCAATGAACCCAAACCTTGTTGAGCTATTTTCTCCTCAGCTAATTGTAAATTATTTCGATAACTCTCATTATCGGGCTCCATTTCAAGTGCCTTTTGAAAACATTCCTTTGCCTCCTTATAATTTTGTAAACTAGAATAGGCCAAACCCATTCGTCCATATGCTTTACTGTAGAATTGATCAATTGACAATGCAATCTTACAGTCCGATATTACTGAATTGAAATTTCCCATTTTGCTGTGAACTGCCGCTCGATTACAGTAATAAACTGCATTGTGTCCGTCCAATTGTATTGCCCTAAAAACAAAATTAAATAATTTAAAGAAAACAATTGATAGAAAAAGACAATTTTGAAGAAAATAATTTCAGGTCTCGAACTAGGTCGTTCGTAAAAGTCAATTTTTTTTTAGAAAACGTCCGTAAGGTCTGTAATTTCTTTGAAAAAGTACGAAAAGTTCGTAAATTGTACGATAGAATTTTGGAGAAGTTACAAATAATTGCAGAAATTCAATTATTATTTTCCAAAGTAATAACATTCTTTGCAGAAATTCAATTATATTAAAAAATTTTAAGTAATTCTCGTCAAAATTACAACTCTCTTTATAAATAATAAACTCGGTCATTTTAAGTATTATAAAAAAATGAAGAAGGCGATTGCTCCGAGCCGAAGACTCGGAGTGATCGATATCTTCATTTTTTTAAAGTTATGAAAAATGTTGGTCCGTAAAGTCCGTATTTTTAAATACTTTCACTGGTTCGAGCCCTGAAATTTAGAAAAAAAAACAATTTAAACGAAAACAATTTAGAAAGAAGAAATAATTAGAAAATAGAGAAATGATAAGGAATAAATTGTAGAAATTTGTCAAGGGGGTAAAAATTAATGTTTTTTCCTACTGTGTATAATTAGCCAGTGCTTCGTGTAATTTTTCAGCTTTAACAAGATCGTTTCCTTCATTTTTCAGCCTTTCAGCCTCAGCCTTTTGCTCTGCTGTTGCTTGCGGACCTAAAGTTGGAGTTTCGTTGACAACGCGCGATGAACCGCCACCACCACCACCGCCTATCGTCAGAAAAGTATCTGGTGGAGCATCAGAGGCCTGAACATTGTAGGCACTTTCCAAGCATTGAATCGCAACCTCGAGACTTTCCCGTGAGTCTGCTGTTAATCCTCCATCTTCCAATTGTCGAGTCAAAAACTGCACAATCGAAGCCACTAATTGTCTTACGTCCATTGTCTTGTAGGTCTTCTGTGGATTTAAAACACAAAAATGAGTAATTTTACAAACATAGTTTCAGTTTTCCTTATAAAATAGTTTTCCTTTTCTAAAAAAAGGAACAGAATGTAAAACTACAATTTTTCAGGAAACGTTCCTTTTTTTAAACTTAATATTAAGAAAATCAAAATCGAAGACTACAAAATAATAGCAGAAATAGAACAAAATGATAACAGTATTAACATTTAATAATTAACATAATTTCTGCTAAATCATCGCAAACTGTATTGAGGAAAAAAAAATTTGAGGTTAGGAACTTCGAAATTAAAATGAAATCTAAAGTAACCTTTTCTACTTCCTTCGAGTAAATAATTCATTCAAAATATTTCTTTAAACTACCGAAATATTCAATTTTCAATGAATTACAAAATGAATTTTTTATTCTAAATTCGAAAAAGAATGAAATGTTTGAAAACTTACGTTGTTTCAAGTTTCAACTTTCCTGTTTTTATGGGTAAAAAAATAGATCGTCAGTGAGAAGTTGAGAGTCAATCACGTCAAGAAGACTTTAAAACGCTCGGCAATATCAAAATGCCCGATTCTTTTTAATTTTCCAAAATAAAGAATACTGATTAACGTTAATAAAATTACACCTCTGATGTATATATGTGATGATAGCAGACTGGAATCGGTGAAAATTTTAATGGCGGTTGCCACGTTTATATTTTTATTTATTATACTTCAAAAGAGAGAATAACTTTTTAAATCAATTTACGATAGAATAGAATTATGAAATAAGGGAATTAAATCTTTATTTTGTTCATAATTTTCTAAATTAGATCCTTTTTTTCATTTTTGTTTATAATTTTTTTAATAACACTAATTACGCTTGCGCAGAACTAATAAAATTCGTGAAAATCAATCAGAATTTAACGCGCGAATTTTAAAAATTCTTCAAAAAGTTAACGTATTTTTTGTTGCAATGGTTGCAATATTATTATAACCTCTCTTTCTGCCAAAGGTGCCAAAGTGACAGTTTTTCGAAATTTTAGAGATTTTGAAAAAACTTGAATGTTTTAAAAATTTCAGTATGTTTATTTTTGTGTACAAAACAGAGATTTCGATGTTGTTGTTATTGTTTTAGAATAAATCATGTTCGTACGCTCTTATTAACTTTTCCGTAAACCTCGGGGAAGGCGTGTTTACATTGGAATTTCTCTCTTAATTTTCGATAAAGCGTGTGATCAAACATTTTTTCAAATTCTTCTTTTGTTCTATATGTATCGGCATAAAGCATTTGATGACCCTGGATACTTTGAACATAATCTTCCAATTCTCTTGTTGATTTCACTGGTTCGAAATTCTTCACTTTTGGCGTTCCATAAACACCAACGTCAACGTACATGTCATCTTTATTTGTTCTTGAATGAACAAATCCTGGTTCCGGTGTCAATTTATATGGACATAGCCATAGTGGATAAATCTGGAATAATTTATTATCATTAGAATGTAGAAAAATTTGAATAGAAAATAGAAAAATAGAAATAATAAATAGAACACAGAAAAATCGAAATAAAAAATAGAAAACATGGAAAAAGGACGAAATTACGAAAAATGGATTAAAGTAAGTATAGGACAATATTTTTTTCTGGTACCTTGACAATTTCGTGAAATTTAGTAATTGTTTCTTCCAGATGATCGAGGGGGACGAGCATGTCTTGAATGGTATGATTGTTTTCGTACATTTTTTTAATGCCCTCGGTTTGTGTTAACTTGAGAAGTGAAACTTTCGGTGGCATCATCCAGCCGAATAAATAACGGAAGAGAATATTGTTTCCAAATGGAATGATGTCTTGGACCTCCCAAAATAAGGCACGTGAATGACGATGATAATAGTCACGTAGTGGAATATATTCAATCCATGGACCAGTTCGCAATTTTTTCTCCACGTGAATGAAAAACCAAGGTTTGTACCAACGACTAATTTGATTGACTAAATGCTCCTCTGGCTCGGAAACCATATTTCCTTAACAAACAAATAATTCGGTTTATTTTTGTTATGCAAATTACAAAATTTTTTATATCCAAATAAAATGTTTTAAATAATTTCATAATCAAAATTAAAAAAATTAAATTATTAAGTAAAATATTAATTATTGTTTATATTTTAAAAAATTTTAATATAATTCTTCACAGAAATTCAATTATTTTTATATGTGACTGTCCACGAGAAAACAGGGCTTAGCTCTAAAAAATCATTTTGAGTTTTTTATGCTGATCGATAGATTTTATATTGCTTTTTCAAATGCAAAAATCAAAAGTTGTAAATTGTCAATTACTTTTGACAATACAACGTTTTAAAGATGTTATATTGTATGCATTCCTTCGTTCTGCTTCTTTCAATCACTAGCCCTGTGAAAGCTAAGCCCTGTTTTCTCGTGGACAGTCACATATAAATAATAACATTATTCGGAAGAATTCAATTATTTTTATAAATAATAACATTTTTTGCAAAAATTTGATTATTTTTTACAAAATTTTAATAAAATTTCATAGAATTCAATTATTTTCTAAAATTTTAATAAATCCTTCTAAACAATTCAATTATTTTTTAAAAATTATTATTATTATTATTATTATTATTTTTTTTTTAATTATTATTTTTTTTTTTAATTAAATTCCTCGGAAGAATTCAATTTAAGAAAAAATTTTTTAATATATTTCGAATAAATTTAATTATTTTCTAAAATCTTAATAAATCCTTCGAAACAATTTAATTATTTTTATAAATAGTAAAATTCTTCGCAGGATTTCAATTATTTTCAAAAAAATTTTAATTGAATTTCTCGATAGAATTTAATTACTTTCAAATATTTACATAAAATTCATTTATTTCCTAAGATTTTAATAAATTCTACAGAACAATTCAATTATTTTTATAAATAGTAAAGTTCTTTGCAAGGATTCAAATTATATTTCTAAACAGTGAAATTCTTTGCAGGAATTCAATTTTTTTCAAAACAATTTTAATTGAATTTCTCGGAAGAATTTAATTTTAAAAACAATTTTTTAATAAATTCTTCTAAACAATTAAATTATTTTCTAAAATTTTAATAAATTGTTCTAAACAATTTAATTATTTTTATAAATAGTAAAATTCTTCGCAGGATTTCAATTATTTTCAACACAATTTTAATTGAATTCCTCGGTAGAATTAAAATATTTACATAAAATTCAATTGTTCTCAAAATATTTTAAAAATATTCTATAGAAAAATTAAATTACTGTCATAATTCTTCTTTCATAATTAAAATTTCTTTCAATGCAATTTTTAAATATATTCGTCAAAAAATTGAAAGAATTCAATTATTTTCAAAACATAATAAAATTCTTTACAAAAATTCAATTATTTTTATTAATAGTAAAATTTTTTGCACAAATTCAATGCTTTTCAAAACAATTTTAATAGAATTCCTCGAAAGAATTTAATTATTTTGAAATATTTACATAAAATTCATTTATTTTCTAAGATTTTAATAAATTCTTCGGAACAATTCAATTATTTTTATAAATGGTAAAATTCTTCTTCATAAAATTCAATTGCTTACAAAATTTTCAATTAAAATTATTTAACAAACTCCATTATTTTAAAAAAATTCAAAGAAATTCTTTAAAATAATTTAATTACGATTCTTAAAAATTTTAATAAAATTCATCGCGAGAATTCAATTTTTTTCATAAATAAAAAAATTCTTTGAAAGAATTCAATTATTCTCTTCAAATTTTTTGATAAAATTCTTTACAAGAATTCAATGATTTTCAATACATTAATTTTAAAATTGAAAATATTTAAAAAGAAAAATTTAAAAAAATGTTAGGAAATAAAAAAGTAATTAACAACTAACTTAAAACTTAAAACTAACTTAAAATTTTCAAAGATTACCGAAATACAACGATTATTAATATAGAAGATATTAATATAGATTTAATGAATTCAATTTATCAATTCGATGTTATGAATTTATGAATTCAATTTAAATTTATTAATTCAACGAATTTAATGACTTAAATTTAGTAATTTAACGAATTTAATGAATTAATGAAATTATTTGCAATTAATTACTGTTTACCAGTCATAATGACTCCAGTTTCTTTGGTGAACATTAGACCCTCGACAAAGTGATTATTTTCCTTTGCATAAGTCTGTCGCTTGAAAACTTCCATAGCTTGCTTTAAATTTGTCACTGGTTCGTATTCAAGTTTCACGTATTTTTTTGCAGGAATGATGTCAATTTCGACGGAAACGAGAAATCCGAGTGTACCATAAGACCAGGGGATGGCGTGAAATAGTTCAGGATCACTTTCCTTTGTACATTTTACAACGGAACCGTCGCAAAGGACAATTTCATAGGCTCGACAAATATGTTGAAAGAGGCCAAATTTATGTGAACTTGACTCGACACCTGTCCCCATAACCAGTCCACCTGTGTCAAATCAGAAAATTGGTAATTTCTTTTTAAAAATTAATTAAATAAATTAAATAAATTAAATAAATTAAATAAAAAAATTAATTAAATTAATTATATTAGAAAATTAATTTAATTAATTTAATTAGATAATTAATTTTTGAATTGATCGTAAATACTCACCGACAGTTAAATCGTCAAGTTCCGGAACAACTGGAATTGTCCATCCAAGAGGATCCAAAGTCGCCGAAAGTTGACCCATTGAAACTAATGGTTCCACTCGAACAAACTGAAATGAATTTCAATTACGAAATTTTGCAGCAATCAACAAGAGGAACAAAAGAAGAAAATTATTCTTAAAACCAGGAATGTGTCGCCAGTTTTTATAAAGGTGAGAATTTAAATTCTAAACTATCGAACCTTTTTCTCGACATTCACTTCGAGAACGTCGATTAAATTCACTTTAACTTGGAACATTGACGATTTGTAAGTTCCTTGACGAAAACTCATTGTTTGCCATGTTGGACGAGCTGTGCACATTTGTTGCTTTCTTCCACTTTCGTTCCATTTTTTCACCTATTAAAAAAATTTTCATTTTAATTTTTATTTTAATTTTTAAAAAAATATTTTAAAATTTTTCTTTTAATATTTTTAATTTTTCTTTTAATTTTAAACTTATTTGAACTTACAATTATTTTAACATCCCCCTTTTTTTGGTGATAAAATTTTCAAACGAAATATTAATATTATTTGAAAGATTTCTCTCACCTGTCTTTGGACTTCGCGAACTTTTTTCCCATGTTCCGTTGGTGCTGTACTTAAACGAAAAACAATCCAATTTCTCGTGTAGTTGAAAATTTCATAGACAAATGAAATTGGTAGTAGAAAAAATATCACGAAAATCCAACGGTGATTTACCATCAGATATTCAAGAATACTATTCTCCCCCATTTTTTCCCGTCAGTTCTGCAATTACGATTTTCGTATTTCTATTATTTTAAGGTTATAAAAAAAAAGTTTCCACTCTTTTTTCTTCAAACGTATTTTTTTTTTACTTTTTTCACACTTTTTTTTATTTATTTTATTTCATTTTGCTGATAAATTTTGTTTCATGATATTGATTTATTATTATATTTATATCTATCTGTATATTAATTAATAATTTATTAATTAATATTTACTTTCTTTACAATAATTTTTTTTGCAAATTAAATTAATTTTTTGGAGATAAAATATCTTGGAAAAATAATTTTGAAAATACGTATTTTTTTATTATTGTTTTTATAATTATATTTTTATTATTATAGTTTTATAATTATAGTTTTATAATTATATTTTTATAATTATATATTTGAAAATATATTTGAAAATTTTACCCTTTGAACTGGATCACTCGGCAAGTGAAAAAAAGAAGTGATCAATTCGTGCTTTATAAAATGGTTAAATCCTTATCTCTTATCGTGAATTTAATAATTTGCCACGTCGAGAAATTTGGCGATTATAATTGAACTGATTAGGAATTTTTGTGAAAAACAAGAATTTTTATATCAATTTAAATTATATATTCATTTATTTACAAATTTTTGAAAATTTGACACCTGTTATTTTTTATAGCTCTTTAATAACAATTATTGCTTTGTTTTTTAATTTTTTTTCTTTGCAAAAAATATGAATCAAAAAATTTATTTATATAATTTTTATCATTATCTATTTTTTTCTCTTTATTGAATTAATCAGTTTATCAATATCAATAATTTCTCCTTGGATAGATTTTTATTTAAGTTATTTATTTTTTGAAATTCCCTCTCAAATTTATTTTATATTTTTTTTCTTATATTTATTTATTTATTTATTTTACTGTCGAAAAACTTACAATAAATTTTTTTTTCAATTTTTGTCTAAAGTCAAAAATATAGTTTAAAAAAAAAATGAAAAATTGTTTATAAAAATTTCTTTACTAAAGGCTAAAGGTGCGAGGAGTGGTGGTTAATTTAGCTCCATTAGAACGGTTTATAAAAATAGTTGAGTTTAATGACTCAAGCAATTGAATAAAATTAGAACACTCGGGAGTTTATCGTTTGCACACTAAATATCTATTATATAATAATTTTGAAAGATGAAAAAATAATAAAAAAAAAAAAATTTTTTTCTACTCCAAAAATAATTTTTTTTATTTTTTACTTTCGAAAATCTTTTTTTTTGCTTTTAATTATACTTTTAATTTCTTCTTTTTTTGTAAAATTATTACCTAATATTAGAATTTAAAAAAACTAAATTAAAACTTCTTTAAAAAAAATTAGTTTTTAACTTTTTTAAACTCGAGTTATATTTCGCGCCAATAATGTGCGCATGTCCAATTTGTGAGTTTGCGCAGAACGGTCTTAAGATGCGTACCTAACCTTAAATTTGATAAAAATAGCAAATGTGATTGGTTATTAAAAAACTTTGCGCATGCGAATTAGCTGAGAATTAAAAGCCGAAAATTTCCGAAGACGATTCTCGTTCTCTTAATTTTCATTTCGTATTGTTTCGTGGTGAACACACACACACGCTCTTGTGCAAGAAAACGACAGCGTCGGCGCGACGCCAATTGAAATCAGGGGAAAAAAGTAAAATTGTGTGGGCGCGTCTTGGCTTCGAATGTGAAAACCGTCAAACGCATAATATCAAAGAAAACAACAATAAACTTGTTAAACAAATGAAATTGTGAATTCTCAATTATATTGGAATATCGAGGGATAATTGTTGATTTTTTGACGGTTATACTTGGCAAAGTGTTCGTGAATGTTTTTAAGTGCAGTTTGTATGGGAATGCAATAGTTGGAGTAGCAGTTGAGAGAAACGGACGTTTTAAGAGCGGGCGGTTCCCACGTCCCAGTGCAACAAGTGTCATTAAACGTGAAATATCAGGAATTGTGTGGGTTGGCACATTTTTGATAAAATGGGGTGCGCTGTGAGCACCACCGGTGAAAAAGAAGCAGCTGAAAGATCTAAGAAAATAGACAAGGATTTAAGAGCCGATGGAGAACGCGCTGCCAGTGAGGTCAAGCTCCTGCTACTTGGTAATCTCCTTTTTTTTCTCATTTTACTTGAGTTGTGTCCGAATCTTTCATGTCAATTTCCCAACTGTAAAAAGAATTTAATTATCAAACGTCGAGGAACGTAATTAATAAGCATGAAAATCGTATAATTCGTATACTGTTAATTCGTTTCACTTTTGTTTCTAAATTTAACGGTTTCTAAATTCGATTAACAATTAATAATATGTGGGAAATAGTGTGGGAACTAAATTGTTTCTCTAACAATCATTTTCATTTGTTTTCAAATGAAACTTTAATGAAAAAGAAAATCGAAGTTGATTCATCGAAAATTTATTTTAAACATGATTCATAAAATAATTCTGGAAATTCTAAATCAAAATGAGAAAAGTGAAAAATATTCGATAGACACGTTTTCTTGTCTTGAAAGATAAAATTATTTTACCATTTTTCTTAAATACTTTGATAAAATGGAAAGAAATAGAGAAATTGACAATTACATAAATAATGAAACAATTAGACGAGTTCGACAATTAAGATTGCAATTATAATCGTGTTGATGATTTAAAAGACATGCTGATGATTCATAATAGGCTTATATACGAGTTCCCTTTACTCATTCTTTTTTTCATTGACATGAATAATTTGAGATAATTCTCTTCTTTTTTGATTATTAAAACAGATGAAATTATATATATTTAATAATCGTTTCTTTTTGTTTCTCTAAATTAACAGGAGCTGGAGAATCCGGAAAATCGACGATAGTAAAGCAGATGAAAATAATTCATGAGACTGGTTACAGTAGAGAAGAATGTGAACAATACAGACCTGTTGTTTACAGTAATACAATTCAAAGTCTCATGGCAATAATAAGAGCCATGGGACTACTTAGAATTGATTTCGCCGATCCTAGTAAAAAGGTATTTTTTAAAAATTTAATTAATTTTATTAAATTCACTACAGTAATTATTTTAAATTTATAGTTTATAATATTATAAAAACAGGTCTTGGATATTGACTTTTTCGATTTTTTTCCGACCATTTTCAAAAAATGCGTCTTTATCGACTTTTCTTCCAAGTTTTGACACAAAAACCACATTTTTGGTATAAAATGCAATTTATTTCGATTTTTGTCGTGTAAAAAGTATAAATATAAAGAAATCTTTGAAAAATTATTTTTGAATGATTTTTCTAATTAATTTTTTTAAATATACAATTAAAAAATTGTTCAATAATCGAAATTTTGTAAAATTTAACTGAAAATAATTAATTTTTTCAAGTATTTTATTACAATTTTTGAAAATCAACTTTTGAGGAGTTTTAATTGCAAATTTTGAAAATAATTGAATGCTCAAAAATTTCAATGCAAAATTTCAAGTTTCTAAAAATTATATTAAAATTTTTTTGAAAGAAGTAATACTTACAGAATTTTTTCCTTGTAATTTTTTAGAATTATTTTTAACACTTTGGAGAAAACAATCATGTTCATAATTTTTAATTAAAATTCAATAAAAAATTACATTGTAATATTTTTAAAAAACTGAGTCTTATAATTGTTTCATTATAATTTTTTCATTTTTATTAGATTTATTTTGTAGAAAGATAATTATCTTCAAACAAAATAAATTAAAATTTTTTAAAATTTTCTTATTTATTAAAATTTTGGAGAAATCATGTTCATTGTTAAAATTAAAATTTTTCTTAAAAATTTGATTATTTATTTTTAAATATTTCAAAAATTCAATTATTTTTAAAAGATTTTACCAAATTTTAATTGTTGTTTTCTAAAGTTATTGTGTTTATTCTTGAAATCTAATTTCATTTAAATATTTCATAATTAGATGAACTTCAAAAGATTTTCATTTAAAATTTGTAAAATTTAAATTTTAAATGAATTTAATTAGAAATATAAAAAAAACTTAGATTTAAAAAAAAAATTTTTAACTAAAATTCTTCTCAGAAGTCTAATTTTTTTCAAAAATTTTAATAAAATTCTTGTCAAAATTTTAATTATTTTTAAAAACGTTCCTGAATTCAATGATTTTTAATATCTACTACTTTAATAAAAATTCCTAAAAGAATTCAATTAGTTAAAAAAAAATTTTTCATAAAATTCTAGGCAAACATTTAATTATTTTCATAAATAATAAAAATTTCACAAGAATTCAATTATTTACAAATAATTTTCATATATTATTCAATTATTTTCATAAATAATGAAACTCAATGCTGAATTTCAATTATTTTTAATACAATTTTAATTAAATTTCTCGAAAAGTAAAATTATTCTTAAAAATTTTATTAAAATTTATCAAAGAAATTTAATTATTTTAATAACCTTTGCTACAATTTATTTATTAGAATTTAAGTATTATTTTCAATAAATTTTTTTTTTAATTTCTTTAAAGAATAAGGGGCCGTTCATAAACTACATCACACTATTTTGCATAATTTTTCCACCCCCCCCCCTACCCACGTCACAAATTTTACATGCTTTAGCGCCATTTTTTCTACAGAACGTCACAAAAAATGAATTCCACCCCCCCCCCCCTCTAAGGCGTGACGTAGTTTATGGACGACCCCTAAAATTATTTTCAAAAATTTTAATGAAATTCTTTGCGTAACAATTCAATTTTTTAAAAATAATTTTAATAATATTCTTTAAAGAAATCAAATTATGTTTAAAAATTTACAAAAATTCTCGTCTAAATTTCAATTATCTTTATAAATAATAAAATTTTTCTTCGAAATTCAAATTATTTTCAAAACTTTTAATACAATTCTTGGCAGAATTTCAACTATTTCTAATACAATTTTCTTCAAAGTTCTCGAAAAATGCAATTATTCTTAAAAATTTTATTAAAATTTGTCAAAAGAATTCAATTATTTAAAAATTTGTTGATAAAATTCTTTATGAAAATTCAATTTTAAAAAACATTCAATAAAATATTTATTTTTATAGTTAAATAATTGAATTCTCGTAGAATTTTCTAATAAATATTGATTTAAAAATGAATTTTAAATTAAAATCTCTGAAAATTTGAACTTTTCATACTTATCACTCCGAGTCGAAGACTCGGAGTGATCGATTTCTTCATGTTTTGTAATTATATTTTTATATGTTCTTGAATTTTAAATTTTCGAATATCTTAATTTCTATATAAAAAAAATAATGATTAAATATTTATTTAAAAATGAAGTTATTGATGTTTTCGAATGATTTTCGTTTTAAAAACCTGGAAAAGTCAGGGAATTTGAAAAAAGCAAAAGCGTGGCAACCCTGAAAATAATTTAATTTTGAGAGGGTTATAATTGTAATTTTAAGAAATTATTAAATTTCAGGTTTTAATTTGAAATTTTTCTAACTTTATTTCCCATGGAAAAACAAATAATAATTATTGAAATATTTATTTAACAAAATATTTGAAATTTTGAATAATTGGATTTTTTTTAGGAAACGGCGAGACAATTTTTCATATTGGCATCAGCAGCAGAAGAAGGGGAATTAACACCGGATCTTGTGATGATTATGAGAAAACTTTGGCAAGACTCGGGCGTGCAACTTTGCTTTACACGAAGCAGAGAATATCAGCTTAATGATTCGGCAGCTTATTATCTAAATGCTTTAGAACGTATTTCTCAACCTAGTTATCTTCCAACACAACAAGATGTCTTAAGGACGAGAGTTAAAACAACCGGAATTGTCGAGACGCATTTTTCTTTTAAAGGACTACACTTTAAGTAAGCAAATATTTCCCATAATTTATAATTATTAATATTTCAACTATTTTTCACAATTTATAAAAAATAGTAAAATTAAAACATTAAAAAATAAAACTTAAATAAGGAATTAAAAAAAGAAAGCAAACTTTAAATTGAAAATTATTTTCAGAATGTTCGATGTCGGTGGTCAGAGATCAGAGAGAAAGAAATGGATTCATTGTTTCGAAGGTGTGACAGCAATAATATTTTGTGTCGCTCTCAGTGGCTACGATTTACTTCTAGCCGAAGACGAGGAAATGAATAGAATGATTGAATCAATGAAACTTTTTGATTCTATATGCAACAATAAATATTTCGTTGACACATCGATAATTTTGTTCCTCAATAAAAAAGATCTTTTTGAAGAGAAAATATTGAGAAGTCCATTGACAATATGTTTTCCGGAATATAAAGGTCGCAATACATTTGAGGACTGTGCGTCTTACATCCAAATGAAATTTGAAAATCTAAACAAGAGGAAAGATCAAAAGCAAATTTACACGCATTTTACATGCGCCACTGATACCAATAATATTCAATTTGTTTTTGACGCTGTGACCGATGTTATTATTAAAAATAATCTTAGTAATTGTGGACTTTTAAGTTAAAATCAAAAAGAAAAATATTTTGTACAAAAGCAAATTTTTCCATTGTTTTTATTAATGCAAAGACTGCAAAGAAACTTAAATGATTTTGCAAAAGAAAAATATTGTCTCTCTCTCTCTCTCTGTCTTTCTCTTTTTAAACTGTACAAAAAGAAGAGAAGTAAATATCAAGCATTTAGTAAATGAATGAAAGCTCATAATAAGGTATTTAAATGAAAGAATTAATTAAAATTAATTTCTATTTTGTAAATTGATTTTTGGATTTTAATCTAAATGACTGAAGTTTTTCTTGTGGTCTAATTGAATTGGTGCCAATTCCATTTTATCATCTTCATAATTTAAAAGGCACACTTTTAGATGTGTAATATAGTTTTCTTTTCACAAAAATGCACTGTAATCTCAGATATTATAATTAAGATGAAATGAGCTTTGACTCATTAACTTGCCTCACAATATTGTGCCTTTCTTGACTCCGTACAATGCCTCGAGAGTTCACGTGTATTTATACTTTTTATACGAACTAAACGAATGTTTTTATCATTATAAGATATTCATATAAGCTTATGTTTTATTAACATAAACTTCCCGAGGGAATGTATGACTTTATACAATTTTAATATAAGAAATATCTATATATTATCTATACACACACAAATAAAAAAAAAAACTTTTCATAAGATTGAAATTTTAATTTCTCCCTCTCTGTAGATTAACGTCTAATTTTCGATATTAAAGAATACAAATAAATTTTTTATTGTTATATTATAAATAAAGTTAGTTATTAAATTAATTAAATATTATACCTACATATATCAAATTCTTAATTGTTTGTGTAATATTAACTAATTATTCAACAATAAATTTGTTTAGAAAAATTGTGATAATTACATTTGAATTTATTTGTAATTATTTATAATTATATATTATTTATAATTTTTTTTCAATTTTATTATAATTTAGTTTGATAATTAAGAATTAAACTTTGGTTTTTAATTAATTAGTTACATTTTCAAAAAGATTAATTAACATCTTTAATAATAAATTTAATTCTAAAAATTAAGAAACGCTTTTTTTGATTTGCTATTTTTATTTCACTTTTTCCGTTCTTTTTTTTCATTTATTAAAATTTATTAAATAATTTTTAATAATAATAATTAATAATTTTATTATTAATTGAAATTTTATTTTATTATTTTTAATTATTAAATTATTTAAACTATTTTAAATTAAATTAATTTAATAATAAATAATAATTTTTTCATTTACTAAAATTTATTAAATAAAATAAAAATTAAAAAATTAAAACTTTTTGAATAAATATACAGTAATTAATTTTATGCACATTAATTATTTTCTTTTGTTACAATTTATAATCATTTTTATTATTTATTCTTTTTGTTTTAAATTGGTTTTTTGATTTTAATTTGCTTTTTTAGAAAATTAAACCAATTTTTTTTCGATCTAGAATTTTTTTATTTTAGTAAATTAAAGCAGTTTCTGTTTATTTTTATTTCTATTTATTAGAAAATTAATTTTACGATATACAAATTAGCAAAAACATTCTAGTAAAAAGTATATTTTAAATTTTCCCGCTCATTTAAAGCGACAAATGAGATGTAGGCAAAAGTTGGCACTACTGATTCGCTGCTATGTTCACAGCAGTCGAATGGCAAGATCTAAGATGGCGTCGTTGGAAGAGCTGACGCTTTGTGTGGAACAGAGGATTTAATCTTTTAATAAGGTGTTAATCCTAACAAATATTATGGATATTTAACGGTAATTAAGTTTTGTTTAATCTATTTAATTGAAATATTGTAAAAGTTTACAGGGAAATTAAAAAAAAAGATGAATATTTTTGCAAAATGATCAAATCGTCAATCAGCCTTTGGCAATTTTGTCAGAGTCTTTTTTCACTCGAATCGTGAATATATTATCGCTTACTGTCAACATCTTTACATAAATGAGATTATATTTGCCCATTTAATTAATATTTCGAAAAATTTTAATGAAAATTAGAAAAAAAATTTTCGTAAAATATATGCAATTGTAATGTTGCATACATAACCTCGAAAAATTGGCACATGAACCATCTAGCAGCAATAAAAAGAACTTCTATCAAGTTTTTTCGTATTATTTCCGACAGATGGCTTGTTTGTCACTTAAAATCGTTGAAATATTGTAAAATATTTCTGTAGTTAAAACAATAGGTAGGCTAAATCAGTCTGAATCAATTAAAATTAAAAATAGGAAAAGATTGAATTTATGAAAAATAATTTCTTTTGTTACAAATTTCAAGACAAATTGGCAATGTGTTATCAGGCTGGCAGCTGGACCGGGAAATGACGGAAAATATTGTAAGAATTAGAACAAGTGATACGAATTTTCTAAAAATTAATTTTTAAATAATAAAGTAAATAAAAATGAATAAAATTATTTTTTCTTAGAAAATAAATTTCTAAAAAACCGTATTTTGAATTAATATATTAATATAGATTGAACTTCAAAAAGTTTCAAAATAAAGTTTTAGAAAAGTTGAAAATTGTAAAAAATTTTATTAAAAATTCTGAATAAGTTATAGTTGTTTTGAAATATTTTAGTTAAAATTTCTAAAAAATAATTTAATTGAAATCTTGAAAATAATTTTTAATAAGTTACAGTATTTTTATAAATTATTCAATTTTAAAGAATTTGAAATTTGAAATTTATTGAAATAAATTTTGATACATGAGGAAAAATACATAATAGATATAAAATAATTAAACATTTATTTTAAAAAATCTATTTATGTTCCAAACGATTTTACAACTGAAGATGTTCAAAAAAATGTATTACAAAGATTTTTTGCAATTTTAATTATTTTTGAAGTAAACTGAAATATTTTTATAGTGATTTATATTGATTAACAAACTATCAATATTTACAATACTTTCATCTTTCATGGAATAATTTATTTTTAGAGTTATTCTTTTTGTGTCCATCCTGGTTATCATTTGAGTTGGAATAATTATTTAATAATTATTTCGTTTTATTTTTTAGAGATTTTTTTTATATGAAGCATTGAAGAAATGGCTTTTTTTGAGAATTGAGATTATATCTTTTCTTTTCAGCTCTCTTTGATCTTTGCCAATAAAAAATGGCTTGAAAAATATCAATCTAGCTGAGATCGACGTCCCGTGCAGAAATCGCCACTTTTGTTCCCGATTACCGCCCTGGCCCCGGTCGGGTTTTCATGATCTGGCCCCGACTTCGTGGCCCCGACCAGGACCAGGCCGGGTTTGCCCAAGGATCTACAAACAGCGCACAATGGGATTTTTTTTACAATTTACTGTTCAAAACTGTCTACAGCCTACAATTAATTAACAAATAGTTAACTTTGATTTCTCTCCACTAAAAAATGTTTTTTTCACCTTTTCTTTTTAATTTAAGTTCATTTAAAGAATATTTGTCCTTTTTGATTATAAAATAACTTATTTAAATTGTTATAAACAATATTAATTAACAAATAGTTAACATTGATTCCTATTCCACTAAAATTTTTTTTCACATTTTCTTTTTAATTTAAGTCTATTTAAAGAATATTTGTCCTTTTTGATTAAAAAATAACTTATTTAAATTGTTATAAACAATATATTAAATAACAAATAGTTATGTAACTTATGTTCCTGTCCACCAAAAAAATTTTTTTTCACGTCTACTTTTTAATTTAAGTTCATTTTAAAAATATGTGTCCTTTTTGTTTAAAAAATAACTTATTTAAATGGTTACAAATAATATTAATTAACAAATAGTTAATTTTTGTTCCTTTCCACCAAAAATTTTTTTTTTACGTTTACTTTTTTATTTAGATAATGTTAAAAGACCACGGATATATAATATTAAATATTTAAATAAGTTATATTATAAGCAAAAAAGACATATATTCTTTAAAAGAACCTAAGTAAAAAAGAAAATTTGTAACAAAATTTTTTTTTTGGACAGGATCATAAGTTAACTATTTGTTAATTAATATTGTTTATAACAATTTAAATAAGTTATTTTTTAATCATAAAGGAAAAATATTCTTCAAATGAACTAAAATTAAAAAGAAAATGTAAAAAAAAATTTTTTATTGGAGAGGAATCAAAGTTAACTATTTGTTAATTAATGTTGTTTATGACAATTGAAATATATTACTTTATGGGTTTTTAATTGTCTGCTGGTAATATTGGATTAATTTGAACTGATTTAGAGCATGTGCAGTAACGGAATAAGAAAATAAACGTCCGTTTTTAAAAAATTGTGTTAATTTGTTAACTTTGATTGAAATTTGAAAATAAAAATTATAAACAATTAAAAACTCAAAAATTGGCCTCGAGGGATGTCTTAAGAATTTATTCTCCTTTAATTTAAAATAATAGGACAAACGCACCAATTGTCGAGGGTGAACCATTTGTCGATGTTATCATGGTAATAACCAAAAATATTGCATAAAATGTTAAATTTATTTGTGGTTACAATATTAACATTATTTTTGACATTTATAACTCTTAAAAACTCTTATTCATTTTTCACACTTAAATTGAAATTCCATGTTTAAGGCAAAAAAATAAATTATTATTAATTAATAATTTTTACACTGCAAAAACTATCGTCTTCAAAACGTCTTATTTTAAGACATTAGACGTTTTGAAAACGTCTAGTCTGGAATAAATGACTAATTCATCTGTCTTTTATGCAAAGTGTCTAAAAATTTGAGACACTTCTTGCGTCTTACAAATGTAAACAAGTCACTTTCAGTGCTTATAATTTAAGACATGTAATGTAGACGGTAAAAGTGTCTATATTTAAGTAATTGTTGCTAATTTAAGACGTTTTCGAAGTAAGACACTTTGAATAAAAGACATTTTGTGTATTCGAGTATCTTCGGTAATATTCGTCTTGCCTCGTCTCGATGAAAGTTTCCCGCGCAATATCAATGCATACATGCATTTTTAGGTTATGTATCGATTCAAGCAGTAAATTTCATCTGGATGAAGACACTTTAAACGTCTCCAAAATAGTCACTTTTAATGTCTTCCTAAAAGACATCCCAAAACGTCTTAAAAATAAGGACAAAAGTTTCTCAAATATAGACACCTGTTTTTGCAGTGTAGTATTATTGTGAATTATTAATAATAAAAAAATTTTTATTGTTTTAAAAAATAGTTAAATTATAAATAATAGAGAATAAATAATTAAATTAATAATTTTTACCATATTATTATGATAAATATATTAATTTATATATATATATATATATATATATATATATATATATATATATATATATATATATAACATACATTTTTAATAATTTTTCTATAAATAAATATGATACAGTCAATTTATTATGATAACACTGTATATAACGGTCCTATGATTCAAAAGGAAGTTTAAGCGAGGTCGCTTCCAAGCTTGCGTGGCTATGCGGTATGTGTATTCGACTTGCGTCCTCGAGGTCTAGGGTTCGATCCCCCGTGCGTGCGATATTTTTCCGTCTTAGTTTTAAGTGTTTTGTGTATAATTCTTAATAATGTTACATAAAATATAGGTTTAAATAATTATTAACAATAATAATAATAAATTAGGCATTAATTTAAATAAGATAGTCTGTCTAAATTAATGAAAGAAAATAAGAAAAATATATTTTTTAAAAACT